GCAAAATGCTACGCAGTTTTCGTGCATATTTTGGGCACGAAATTGAGCACGAATGCACGAATTCACGCAAGACAACGCGCATTTTCGCACGTACCTGCGCAGCAATTCGTGCATTTCACTCTACCTCGGGCGAAAGCTATGCACACAAAAGTAGTAAGTGTTTGAGCGCAAAGCGTTCGCAGTGTCGTGTGCAGTGGAGTGGAAAGGAGCAGCGCTTCTCCGTCTTCTCCTCACACGGATGGATGGATGGATGGATCGATGGATGGACGGATGGATTGAACGCTTTGAATAACTTTATTTCGGTCGAAGGCCAACGAAGTTATTCATTTCTCCGTCTCTCCCCACCTGGTGCAGCCCGCACAGCGCCACTCCGCCACGCAGCGAGGCGGCAGCGAGGCCAAAAGACGAAGGCTCTCGGGGCTCCGCCTCGCTGCCGCAAAGGCGCTTACACCACCGGCCGCCCCGGGTGGAGCGGGCACACCGGGAATCGAGAATCGAAATCGGAATCGATTGGCAGGCGGCAAGGACGTCGCAAATGAGGCCAACAGGTAGCGGCTGCCGCTTTGTTTCAAGATCTCAGTGTTCAAACTGAAGGCAAGGCGCAGTGGGCGAGAAGACCGGTAGAGGCGCCCAAAACCCCGGACGCGTTTTGGTCTCCAGAGTTGCTAACTGGGACTCGAACCGAGCGTGTGACCCCACCAATGGATCGCTCTCCGAACGAGGAATCCATTGGTGGGGTCACACGTTCGGTTCTAGTCCTGCTTAGCGACTCGGGCTCAAAACGCGTCGAGAGTTTTGTTCGCCCGCGCCGGCCTCCTGGCCCACTGTACAAGGGTACGCGGATCAAAACGTTGGTCCCGGCCATTGTCCGATCTGGGCCTCGATGCGGCGCGGCGCGCATCGGAGTGACTCGGGGGCCTTCCTGGGGATTACTCAGAGTGCTGGCGGTTAAACCCCGGTCAGCCTTTACTTTGAGCACCGCGGTGGCCAGGCTCGGTGCTTCCCGGCCCTGCCAGGCCGGCCAACTAAGACAGCCCTAAACCCTCGGGACCGCCGCTGCCCCCGCCCCAGCATGCGCTTCGCTCCGACAGGTCGCACCGCGCTCTGATTAAGGCCAGCCTTTGAGCGCGGCCACTGCCAATCATGTTCCAGAGCAAGTCCCGCGAAAATGAATTCGGTGACGACTCGAGTTTGCAATCAAGCTTCGCGCGTCGATGAGCTTCACTCGCTCGTCTCGACGAACGCAAGGCGAACGAAATCTCTCACCGGCAGTGTGTAAACACGCAAGCTGAACTGGGAGCGTTTTCGCGCGGTTTGGCCTCCGCACTGTAATTTTATTTTCCACCGCCCGTCACTGCAGTCGTGAATCTCAATGTAACCTCGCCACCCCAGCCTCAGCCTCTGGACATGGAAAAGGAAATTACCCCCGTTTCTAGTCACATCACTGCTGTATTCCAAGTAAATTTCCCTGTGTCAAGATTTTTTTTCGAGCGCGAGCTGGGGCATTGCTGCTGTAATTCGTTTCCCCGCAAGCTTCTCGCGGGGCGCACGGCCCGTATTCGGGTATTCGGATTCAGGCCCGGGAAATAAATCAGTCGGATAATGCATCCGAGCGAGCTGCCTGGCCCGCCCGGCCCGCCCGGCCACCTGCCTGCCTGTCTGCCCGCTGGAAAAGCCACACTCGTCGCCCCGAGGCTGCCACGCTGCCTGCCTGCCACGCGCACCCCAGCGCAGGCCATGGCCTTTTAGCGTCCCACGTGGGGCGTGCATTACTCTCGGCCTCACACTCTTCCTCCTCCTCCTTCCCCCCCCCCCCCCCCCCCTGTGCGCAATGCATAGGATCCACTCAGCGACTCGACGACTTCCTTCGGCGCCAACAGAGAGAGACGGGCAGATAGGGAGGGAGGGTACATATTGCTGTCCTTGCTCAGTGTGACATCAAGTCGCATTGGTCGCTTATTTATAGAAACGGCCGAGCGTGGTTCGCTGGCTGCGTTTTCTCAATGCGCCGACCTGATGACTGCTGGCGATAACCCGCCCCACCCCGCCCCCGCCCCGCCCCACCCCGCCCCGCCCTGCCCCGCCCCGCCCCGCGTCCGAGCGGCCTTTCACCGCAAGACCCCCTTTTTTGCGCGGGCAAGGTATTGACGGGTCTTCTTTCTCTCTCCGAGGAGAACAGGGGCTGAATACGCCGGCCGACGTGTACGTGCACGGGGCGGGCGCTTTCTCGGCGGGACAAAAAGCAATAATGAAGATCGTGTGGCGCTGTCTTTTGTCACGTTGCCCGCACCGAGGCAGTGGCGTGGCAGTGCCGTGCCGGTGCAGGAGCAGTGTGCCCTGCTGCCGGGATATTACCTCCACCCGCTCCCCTTTCTCGGCCTGCTCCGCCGCAGACCGACAGCTGCGGTCCCCGTCTTGCCATCCCTCGCTGTATCTTGTATCTTCCTCTCCTGCGTCCAGTTTCTTACACGTGCCCACCATTCTCCGTTATGAATCATTCGCCCCCCCCCCCTTTTCACCCCGCCAACCGCCCAATCTCTCTCTGTCTCTCTCTCCCTCCCTCTCTCTCTCTCTCTCTCTCTCTCTCTCTCTCTCTCTCTCTCTCTCTCTCTCTCTCTCTCTCTCTCTCTCTCCCTCTCTCTCTCTCTCTCTCCCTCTCTCTCCCTCTCCCTCTCTCTCTCTCTCTCTCTCTCAGCCGAAAGGTCATCGGGGAGGGCGTCACGGGGCGTCGCCGGGATGGGGCGATCGGTAATGCAGACAGAGGCAGCTGCAGCGAGGGCCGCCGGCGCAAACGCCAGGGCAAATATAGACCGGAGTTTAAAAATAAACCCAGCCGTAAAAAACAAGTGTTATTTAGGCGCGCTGTGGGTTGGTTCCGGCAGAGCGGCGTCCGAGCAGCGGACTCCAGCTCATTCCAAGTCTTTCCAGCACCCGCTGGAACTTTGCTGGTGATAAGGCGGCGGGCCGTGATAAGGGGCTTGTCTAGTGTGGCAGTGGTGTCGTCAGCCGCCGCGGCCACTGAGTCTCCCATTGCGGCGACGCGGAAAGCCACGTCGTCTGTTTTTCCCTGAGGACGTTGCCACTTTTTCCAGGAACCCCTGTCAATTCAGGGCAGTTTCGAAAAATTCACCCTAAGTTCCCAGGAGCCCTTCTGGAAAAAGTGGGGCAAAATCCTGCAAAAAGCGGACTCCGTTCTCGGCGCGTCGTGCAAAAAGAAGAGGCGCTAATAGTGAAGAGCACGGCCGCCAAAGTCATTATGGGCGCGCTGCTCGACGTAGTGCACTACAGCGCCATTAGGCTGCAACCACACTGCAACGCCTGCAACGCCTGCAACGCCTGCAACGCCTGCAGCAGACGACGTGGCCGGCGAGCCTGCATCGATCGGGCAATGCAGTGGAAGGCCTGGGCAGGGCTGGCAGGGCTGGCAGGGCTGGCAGGGCTCGGCCTGGGTGCAGCGCAGTGCAGGCCGGCGGGGCGGCGCAGGGCGGCGCGGGGCGGTCCCTGCTGCTGCTGCTTCACTGCAACTGCATCAGCCCCAACTGTCACAGCGCGGCCTAGGCCGGGGCTTCGCAGGCTCGGCAGGCTCAGAGAACTGGGGACCGCCGGCCGCGGGGCCCACGAAGGGAGAGACAGTTTCGGCGAGACGGCCTGGCCGGCCCCCGGACCCCCCTTGGGGCCCCGGCCTGGCTGGGGCCTGGCTGGGGCCTGGCTGGGGCCTGGCTGGGGCCTGGCTGGGGCCTGGCTGGGGCCTGGCTGGGGCCTGGCTGGGGCCTGGCTGGGGCCTGGCTGGGGCCTGGCTGGGGCCTGGCTGGGGCCTGGCTGGGGCCTGGCTGGGGCCTGGCTGGGGCCTGGCTGGGGCTGGCTGGGGCCTGGCTGGGGCCTGGCTGGGGCCTGGCTGGGGCCTGGCTGGGGCCGGCTGGGGCCTGGCTGGGCCTGGCTGGGGCCTGGCTGGGGCCTGGCTGGGGCCTGGCTGGGGCCTGGCTGGGGCCTGGCTGGGGCCTGGCTGGGGCCTGGCTGGGGCCTGGCTGGGGCCTGGCTGGGGCCTGGCTGGGGCCTGGTGGGGCTGGCTGGGGCCTGGCTGGGGCCTGGCTGGGGCCTGGCTGGGCCTGCTGGGGCTGGCTGGGGCCTGGCTGGGGCCTGGCTGGGGCCTGGCTGGGGCCTGGCTGGGGCCTGGCTGGGGCCTGGCTGGGGCCTGGCTGGGGCCTGGCTGGGGCCTGGCTGGGGCCTGGCTGGGGCCTGGCTGGGGCCTGGCTGGGGCCTGGCTGGGGCCTGGCTGGGGCCTGGCTGGGGCCTGGCTGGGGCCTGGCTGGGGCCTGGCTGGGGCTGGCTGGGGCCTGGCTGGGGCCTGGCTGGGGCCTGGCTGGGGCCTGGCTGGGGCCTGGCTGGGGCCTGGCTGGGGCCTGGCTGGGGCCTGGCTGGGGCCTGGCTGGGGCCTGGCTGGGGCCTGGCTGGGGCCTGGCTGGGGCCTGGCTGGGGCCTGGCTGGGGCCTGGCTGGGGCCTGGCTGGGGCCTGGCTGGGGCCTGGCTGGGGCCTGGCTGGGGCCTGGCTGGGGCCTGGCTGGGGCCTGGCTGGGGCCTGGCTGGGGCCTGGCTGGGGCCTGGCTGGGGCCTGGCTGGGGCCTGGCTGGGGCCTGGCTGGGGCCTGGCTGGGGCCTGGCTGGGGCCTGGCTGGGGCCTGGCTGGGGCCTGGCTGGGGCCTGGCTGGGGCCTGGCTGGGGCCTGGCTGGGGCCTGGCTGGGGCCTGGCTGGGGCCTGGCTGGGGCCTGGCTGGGGCCTGGCCGTGGCGAAGGCAGGCACGAGAAAGACGGCGAAGCAACGAACGGGGGAAAAGTGCCGGAAATAGGGACAATCGGCGATGACGAGGCGGGATCCCTCAAGGTGGCCGTGGTGCTGCAGCATGGCTGCTGCTGCTGCCTTGACCACACAGTGCAGTGGCGGGCAGAGATTCTCGCGCCTTCTCCGCGTTCTCACGTCGTGTTCCTCCTTGTTCCTGTTCGCAGAGCTCGCTGCCCATCGTCAAGACCATGTCGCAGGTCGGCTACTCCCTGTCCCTGGTGTCCCTGGTGGCCGCCTCGGCCGTCCTCGCCACCATCAAGTGAGTACACTGATCAGCTTCTTCCGGAAACCTGCTCTCTGTGGACGGCCATCGGCAAGCCGCCGTCCTCGGAAGCCTTAGCACGGGATGCCCCCCCCCCCCCCCCCACACACCACACACACACTGGACTAGCGCTTCGCAGGGGGAGCGGGACCGCTGATGGTTGGCGTGTCAGAATTTTCCGCACTTTGTAGCAGGCCGTCCCGAATGGAAGTGATGATTCGGACGACCGAAGGGAAGGCCCGGGGGAGCAGAGAACCCTGCGTTATCTGGTTCGCGTTCTCGCCGCCCCGGGGGACCGCTGGTCTGGCGGGTAACAGATTGGAGTAGCCTTTGCCGGCCCTCACTCACTACCACGCTGCCAGCAGCGCGCGATCCGAAGCCGGCCCGCTTCAACTCCACCGTGCTGTGGGCGGTACTCTGTGAACCCGTCGATTGAAGGCCATCCGACAGAGCAGTTTCCGAGGGGGTAACGACTGGTAAATTTCGTGTCAGCCGGATTACGGATTACCCCGGATTACCCTATTACCTCCGGATTACAACAAAAAAATTCCTGGATTACCCCGGATTACCTCAAAATTTTCCCGGATTACCCCGGATTACCTCAAAATTTCGGGTTATCCGGATTACGGATTACCACTTTGCTGTCAGCCGGATTCCCGAAGTCGTTACCCCCTCGGCAGTTTCTCCTGTTTCCTCGTCACTACCTCGTGACAGTCTGGAGGCGATCAACGATGCTGAGGCTGCCCTGCCAACGCTAAGCAGCTCCACCGTCCGCGTGGCCCGCTCGGCGGCGTGGAGGTAACACTGGCAACAGTCGGACGGCCCATCCTTCTGCCCGTCCACCGGTACAATCTGTTGCTGAATGGCTTCATTTAGCCGAGGCCGACGGATCAACACACACACACACATTCACACACGGCGGCCGCCGCTAGCCCCAGCGGCCCCAAGGCGGCCCCATCCCCGCACGCCAATTACCAAGGGGTAGGCCGCCCCTGCTTCGGGGGCTCCATCGGGCCGCGCGGACAAATGATCCTTCCTTCGGGCAATTAACGGCTCGACGTCCACACTAATCGTCAGCCACACACACGCACAAACATACACGCGGCCTAAGGCTGCTGGGCGATAGCCGAAAACTCACCCGTTTCCCTACTCCCCACTCCTCCACGAGCCGACAAACTTTAGTCGTCCTTCCGTGTTTTCCTGTGTGTGTGTGTGTGTGTGTGTGTGTGTGTCCCTTTTCCTCCGACTTTCGGGCCGTCGGAGCGTGGCGGAGCGTGGCGGAGCGTGCTGGCGCTGATGCCGGGGGTACACGTAAATCAGCGTGGCGACATGCATGGCGACGCAGAGGGCTGCAGGTGGCGGCCGGAAGTGCCTCAGCCCGCCTCTCTCTCTCTCTCTCTCTCTCTCTCTCTCTCTCTCTCACTGTCGCGCTCCCCCCATCCGTCGCTCTCGCTCTCGCTTCTTGACCCTCCGGCCCTTCGGCGGCCAGCGCGACCCTGGGCGTCCCCTCGCCGCCGGTCGACCGGTCCCGCCCGACCGGGCCGCTCGGAATGCTGTTGAATTACAGGGTCCGACGCCTCCACCACGGCCAGTGTGCCAGCAGCCGGTGGGCCGATTCCGAGCGGGACGTCCCGCTGTCCCTCTCGCACTCGTAGGGCTGGCCGCGCGCGTGCGAGAGAGACGGAGCAGTGGCTGGCGGCCAGCAGCACAAGCCCCGCCGGGCCAGGCCGCACCGGAGGGTAGTCGGGGAGGGGGTCAGCCGAGTCACCGTCGGGGCCGCGGGGCTGCACGCAACAGGACCGCCGGGACGGAGTAAAAATACTTGTCGCGACGCCGCCTTCGCCGCCGCCCCGCCCTCGTCCTCGTCGTCTTGGAGGTGCGCCGAGACACGACCGAGAGGTGGCCGTCAAGGGGTGCGAATCGGCGCCGGAAGTGGTGGCGGGCGGTGTCGATGGGCGGCACGCGGCGAGACGAGAGGTAATGGCCAAACTTTTAATCCTCTTTGCACTCGCCAAAGTGGCGGCTGGCGAGGGCGGGGGGCGGATTTCGGGGGGGGGGGGGGGGGGGGGACCGCGCTTAACCCGGCGACTACACTCCCGCAGCCCCTCGGCTCCGCCATGTCGGAGATACCGACAGCACTCGTCCGATACCATCTCTGCGCACTGATTCCGTAGGTCGTCGCTCTGTCTCTCTCGCACTCATGCGGCGTCCCCCATTGGCGCGAGAGAGACAGAGCGACCATAACGGCCCGCGGAATCGGTCGGCCGGCACGGCCGGCAGCGCTCTCGGGTACACAGGCCAGCGCCGGCAGTGCTTACAGTGCCGTGACGGATGTGACAAGTGTGACGGCTGGGACTCGTGTGGGGTGCGAGAGTCAGGGGGAGGGGCGGCGGTTTCGGTTTGTGGCCTCGTTCGGCACGGCTTCTGCGTTGCTCGCCGCGGCCTCCACGGGCTAGGGGTGAGTCTGGTTGGGGTGGGGGGGGGGGGAGGGGGGAGGGGAAGGAACCATCGTCATATCGGAATGCGAATGAGTGCGTCCGGCTTAACCATGCCGCTGTTGGTCCCGACCCGGGCACCGCGCGCGCCACTACAGCCCCTCGCCACAGGCGCCCCCCCCCCAAACGCCAACGGGTACCTGCGCAGCATAAGTCACTGTCAGTAACAGCAGCAGCCACCCCCACCCGCTTCAGTTTCTGCCTGTCCCTCTCTTTCTGATAGGGCCGCCCTCTCTCCCTCCCACCCCCACCCGGTCTGATTCTGTTTCCTCGTACACTGCAAACCAAACCAAACTGGGTGCTCCGACGAGACACATCTTTTTTGATCTTTCGGCGTTCTCAAAACTAAATGCTTCACAGAGGAAGACCGTTTGCCGTGCATGGACCACGTGGTAGTAGTAACAACCCCGTCGCGGCTGCTATTCTGAATCCACCAACAGTTTCGGCAAATGTTTGCTCTGCACATCCCGCCAACGGGGTTCTTTGAAGCACCCAATAATTCTTTACAGCAGCATAAAAGTGTGTTTTTCTTTTTTTTTCTGGGCGTCCCGCTGCTGCCTCCGGCGTGGCGGGCAGGGAATGACGGAATGTTATCTTTTAATGAAAAGGCCGGTGGAACAGCGCGAGCAGCGCGGCCGGCCGGTGGGGTTATTACAGAGTAGCGCACTCGGTTTGGGTTCCGCACCGTGTCATTACCGCGTTTTGTTTTTCTTTTAATCAACAGGAAGCTGCGGTGCCCGCGCAACATGCTGCACCTCCACCTGTTCGCGTCCTTCATCATGCGCGCCTTCTTCTCGCTGCTCAAGTCCGGCCTCTTCGTGGACGGCATCGGGCTGCCGTCCGACCTGCTGCTCAAGGACGGCGGCAACGTGTTCGTCGACAGATACGAGGTACGCTCACTTTCTTATTCTTATTTTTCTCACCCCGTCGCACAGTGGGCCAGCTAGAAGAAGGCGGTCGAAATCCCGGACGCTGAATGGGACTCGAATCCATCGTGTGACCCCACCAATGGATTGCTCTCCGAACGAGGAATCCATTGGTGGGGTCACACGCGCGATTCGAGTCCTGCTTGGTGACTCTGGAGCTCAAAACGCGTCTCGAGTTTCAGCCGCCGCCGGCGGTCTTCCGGCCCACTGTGTCCTCTCTTTGTTTCGGCTTTTGCGCGCCTTTTTCGCGTGTCGCGTCACTCGGCGGATGTTTTATGGCAGTGATGATTTTTCAACCGCCTTACACGTGGCCGCATCACGCGACAGGGAGAGAGAGACGGAGGGGCGTGGCGGGGCGGGGGTCTCGCGGTCCTTTATGTGGCTCGTAAACCGGCGCCCCGGCAGGCACGGCCGGCACGGCGAGGGGCAGCGCAACAACAACGGGGCCACGGCCGGCCGCGGCACTGTGGGGCGCGGGCTGCGCGGGCTTCGGGGGCTGCGGGGGCTGCGCGGGCCAGTGGCCTGCAACCTCCCTGCGAGGCTCACGAAGGCCACCGTGCCAGAACGCCCGAACACAACGCGTCCAAATTTAATTTCAACTTGCGCACACACAAGTGGGCTCATGGCGGGGCGTGTATGGGTGCGGTTGTGGGGCCGGGGCCCAGCCCGGCGTGGTTCCGAGGGTGCGGGCGGGCGGCCGCGTCGGAGTGGTACTGGCGGTGCAAGGCGGGGTGGGGCGGGGCGGGGCGCGTCGTCATGGAATTAAACGCAGCCGACAGGTGCACCGCGCCCCGCCCCGCCCCGCCCCGCCCCACCCCGCGCTCAAGTACTACAGAACAAGACTGGCTTTTCCATTCACGTCACGCGCGGCGCGGCGCGACGCCTGTCCGTCCCGTCGGCCTTTTCAACCGGCTGACGCGCTCCTCACCGCCGGCGGGGCATGGCGGGGCATGGCGGGGCCCCCATGGCGGGCCCCCATGGCGGGGCTCCCAGGGTGGGGCCTCGGGCACGCGATAACGAGGCACCAGCTCGCCGGCTGCACGTCGCCGTCACAAACCGATCAAGAAGACCTCGCCAATTCGATGTCTCGAACCGGTCTCGTTGTCGGCAGCCAACGTTTTTGACTGAGCACGGTGGCTTGCTGGTTGGTTTGCAGTGTTTGAATTGCAAGGAGCTCCCCTCGCGACCCCGCCCCTGCGCAGTGGGCCAGAAGACCGATGGAGGCGGCCAAAACTCTCTTTCCTCGTTCCTCGTTCGGAGAGCAACCCATTGGTGGGGTCACACGTTCGGTTCGAGTCCCATTTAGTGACTCTGGAGCTCAAAACGCGTTTGGCCGCTTCGCCGGTCTTCTAGCCCACTGTGCCCTGGGCCCGCATGACACAGTGGGTTGGTTCCGGAAGTACCGCGACCGCCTCGCGTATCGATACCGACCCAGGGCTTCCACTTCCAGGCCCTCCAGTCCTCCAGGCACTGCTCCGCGGCACGATTGAGACCTCGGGGGAAGCGAACGACGCCCTGCTTGTGGACACGCAGCGGGGGAGGCGCTGCCCGACCGGCCGACCCCTCACCATCTGTCTCGCCCGCACTCACGGCGGCACCGAGCGGCACCAGGCCGAGCTGACCGGAGGCGGTGTCTGTTTCAGAACTGGGTGTGTAAGCTGATCACCAGCCTCTGGCAGTACTTCATCATGGCCAACTACTCGTGGATCCTGATGGAGGGCCTGTACCTGCACAACCTCATCTTCCTGGCCCTGTTTTCGGACACGTCCTCCATCCGGCTCTACGTCGCCCTCGGCTGGGGTGAGTGTCCAAGAAGTGTGTTAGTCCGGTCGCGGACGGGGGGAGTGGTTCCCCGCGGATCGGGTTCCCCCTTTTCTCCGACGGACTCTTCTCGTAGTCCATTTCAGCGGGGTGTGGTATGCAGATGAGGGCCGGGGCTGCGCTAGCTGCGTGGTTCGGACTGGTTGGCGGTAACGCGGCTGGCCGCGTGGCTGGCCGAGACGGAGGCCTGCTGCGCCGCGCGCCGGGAGGCCGCCTCCGGCCCTCCGCTCCGGGCGATTTAGCGCGTGGGCTCAGATTTCGCAGAAAACGCGGAGGCAACGTCGTGGTTCTCCACATTCAGTTCATCCTCTTGAAAAACAAAGGCGGTTTTTACAAAACGAGGCCGGCTGGCACATTACAATGGAAGTCCCTTGGAAAGATGCTCGAATTTCGAGCCCTCCCTCAACGTCCTGGCACTCTTTCATGCCCAACCATTTCATGCCACGCTTCGGGAACGCCTTAAAACCACACTAAGTTCAGGAGCACCAATAGCGACCAATAGCGTTCAAAATTATCCACAGCCTCGCTGTACACAAAATTTGCTCCAGAGCTTCCCGCGCCGAGCAGCCGCGCCCGCGCGCTCCACACTGCCGCCAACTTCGGCGGCCGCGACTGAAAACAATCGGCGTCGCTCGGGCCGCTGGCAGCGCGCTGGCGGCCGAATGACAGGCATCGGGAAGTTGGCCGCCCTGCCGACGGCGTGCTGGCCGCTCGTTGAAATGAGAGTGAGCCGGAGGTCAGCCGCGGCAGCCCGCGGTTGGTTCCCACCGTTCCCACGCCCACGGCGTGGCGCGGCGCGGCGCGGCATGGCACGGCAGCGCGCCTCGGGGCTCCGGACGGGAGTTTGGAAAGGTCCGCCACAAAGGGAGAAAGAGTGGAAATAGGGCGCGTGCAGTGGCGTACCCTCACCCTCACGTCGCTGCCGAGAACGTTCTCGAGCGGGTACCGCCACATTTCGCGTATTGAACGGTTGTAAGCTGTCCTGGCGGCCACAGGGACAGCTTTAGGGACAAGCGCGCGGCGGGGAGGTCGATGTCTCGACCGCGCCGTGCCGTGCCGCGCCGTGCCGTGCCGCGCCGTGCCGCGCCGTGCCGTGCCGTGCCGTGCCGCGCCCATCGGCCTCTTTCTCCCCTAATTGAGGTCCCCCGCCGCGTCAACGCCGAAGCCAAACATGATTGCCAATTGGCCGGCGCTAAATTGACAGCGTTTGAGTGTGGCCGAGTGGCCCCCGCGGAGTCCGACCCGCGCAGCCCGGCCTGGTCGCTTCACAGTAAAAAAAGATTCGCCGATTCGGTGACGTCTGGGCGCCAAAACGAGAATATTACAAGAACAGCGACACCCTCAAACTGTTCTGGCGGCCCTCTGTTCGTTTCGGCGACGCTCGGTCCGTTCCGGAGCAGCCACCTCACCAGAACGGCACTGCAGTCACCCTCCCGCCAGCGACTTTTAATCGTCGTATTAATGTGAAATAGGACACAAAACAAGTCAGGGGCTGTCAGTAATCATTCGCGTGACTCATCAAAGCGCAACATTGCCGGCGGGCACGCACAAATATGCACAGACAGCTCAAAAACAGTTGTTGTGGTCATCCTAACCTCTCTGGCGGAACACCACCTGGTGACGCAGGTCACCGTTTTGGTGACGGACCGTCGCCGGGTTTGTGGGGGTACCCGTTTCGGTGAGATTGGATATAGAACGACCACCAAAACAGCGAATCTTTTTTTACTGTGTTGCAGCCCCGCGGCTTGCTCAAGCAGCGGGCAACCGCGTACAACGCTCTGCCACGAACGCGAAACCGGGTTTGAAATGAACCAGGGTGGAACCAGAGTTGAAGAGGGTGGTCGGACTGACGAACGAGGTCATTTCTTTCAAACCCAAAAGAAAAACATTCTACTACAGAGCGTGCAGAAAATTTAACGGCACATTTAAGGATGTTTGTCAAGATGAACACCGGTCTGCCAGTGCGGTGTGAGTCGTGCGCAGTGTAACAGAGCCGTACTCAGCGCTTCCTGACAGAATGTGACAGCATTTGTGTGGCAGCCGGCACCAGCGGTGCGAGCGGTGCGAGCCCAGTGGCGCTTGGCCGCGCCCGGCCCTTTCAACGGACTCATTGACCGCCACTCTTTTTTTTTTCTTTTTTTCATTCACTTCGGTTTGTGCGGTGGCCGGGCTCGGCGCTGCTATGCTTTCAGCGGGTTTTGTGGACTCAAGCCGATTCACAGGCTAGCACACGTGTGGTCACACACAAACACACCTACGCCCACACACACGCACACAGACGAACAGGCGCCGGGCCGCTACACGGACCGACCCAAGGGCAGCGGCGCAGCCATTGGAAATTCAAAGCCAAATGAGCCTCTTGTGGGAATAGTCATTGAGTAGCGGGTCGGCCTTGGTGGAGCAGGCGGGGGCCGCGGCAATACATCGCGACACATGACCCCCCCCCCCTCCTGCCCCTTACACGCCGCGCGCATGCACACACACAAACACACACACACACACACATCGCGCGCCTACTGCACGGTTTCGCCGTAGGGGAGATACCGAGCAGTTTGACAACGGCCTTGTTGTGTGTGCGTGTGTGTGAGAGCTAGTGTGTGTGTGTGTGTGTGTGTGGTGTGGGGGGGGGGGCTCTAAACGACCACGACGTCGACTAACTGGAAGGGTGGTTGCTGATCTGATGAGTCATTATCTACAGACCATAATAGCGCAAAATGGTACACACACAGACGCACCATCGCATTCACAGACACATACTACTCGCACTCGGAAAAGGGGGGGGGGGGCTGCCATCTCTTGGCTGGCCTGGCGGAGACGCGTTGGCGCGCTACCCCGATACAATCTCTCCTGCACACCGCGCTGCGTGCTACCCTGTTCCTCCAGTGCCTGCGGGCCTGCGCGCCTGCCAGCCCCGTCTGGGCGCCCCTGTCGACTGCCAGCCCGGTCTGCCCGGCCCAGCCCGCCGTCCCGGGAGGCCCTAATCTTCCATTAGGGCGCGGCCGTCTGCGAGGAGACTCAGAGACGGGGAAAGTCAGTCACGCGGGGAGACTCATCAGGCTCATCAGGCGAGACTGGCTGACTGCATTTCTCGCGCCAGTACACTGCAAGGACACGCCGTCCCACCGCCCTGGGACACTGGAACCATCACTGGAAAAAATGAGTTCGTAATCTGAGATCATTTGTCTCACATCGAAAATTCGCTCGGAATGTGTGATACACATGCTCTCTCTGATTCAGAACCCATTTTTTTCGGTGTGGAGCAGCAGCATAATAAAAAAAAGTGCACGCGAAACACACGATGGAAAAGAAAAGTAGGCAATTGAAAATTATTTTTCCATCTTTAAAAAAAATGACCGTTTATTATTCGGCGTTTGAATGAAAAGCGTGGGTGACCGGAGGGCGACAGCGCTATGAAGCGGGGCAAGACATGCCAGCTTCTATTATGTGAGTGCTCCGGGGGTGGAGGGTCGGTGACATCCCGGCCACGCCCCACCACGCCCCGCCACGACACGCCACGCCCCGCCACGCCCCGCCTCGCCCCGCCACGCCCTGCCTGAGCGTTATACGGCGCATCGTTTATGCTAATGATGGTCACGCTGCATCGCTATTGGGGGACGACGGGGTGGAGGGAGCAGATTGATTGGCTGCCTAGATTTTACGACCCCAGTCTTCTCGCAGGAGGAGACAACTCAACAAATTAAGTACCGCACAGGCACCCACAAAAAGAACATTGAACCATTTAATATAGAAGAATGTCACTTTCAAAAAATATTTTGTCAAGCTGCAGTTTGTCGTTCCCTGTTGGCGCCTCCATCATCGGCAGACTGCACTGGGCCGCGCGTCCCCCCTCGCCAGACTCCAAAGGCTCGGCCGGCGAGGTCACGTGCCGCGACAACGGCGCCCCGGGATTAGCTCAGCCCTCGGCCGCGGGGGGGGGGGGGGGGGCTGGATTGGTGGCCGCGGGGCGCGGCGATAATCAGCATTTTGTTTCATTGTTCCGGCCCGGCATTCAGCCAGGCGGGGCGGGGCGGGGCGGGGCGGGGCGGGGCGGGGCGGGGCGGGGCGGGGCGGGGCGCGGCGGGGCGGGGCGGACGACAACAAAGGCGTCCTTGCGCGGGCGGCGTCTTGAAGGACAGGCCGGCCATGCACGCCCCTGCCCCTCCTTATTCTTGATGGCGGGCCATGGCGGAGTGGAGGGGTCGCCTCGCCTCGCCTCGCCTCGCCTCGCCTCGCTTCGCCTCAACTCACTGATAAATGAGAAGAACTCGGCCGGCGCCTTTGAGGCTTTCATGGGACGCGGCGAGCCGTGAGAAGGAATGGCCAACACAGTGCAACGCGCACAATGGGGTGGCGGTGGCTCTGGGACGGACGGACAGACAGGCAGACAGATAGGCAGACAGACAGACAGACAGACAGACAGACAGACAGACAGACAGACAGACAGACAGACAGACAGACAGACAGACAGACAGACAGACAGACAGACAGGCAGACAGATAGGTAGACAGACAGACAGACAGACAGACAGACAGACAGACAGACAGACAGACAGACAGACAGACAGACAGACAGACAGACAGACAGACAGACAGACAGACAGACAGACAAACAGTCAACCGCGCTGCCAGCATTGGGTCCGGCCTGCCAGCAAGGCGTGCCAACTGATACGTATGCCTACGCCCCCCTTTTTTGGCGCGGGCAATGGGGTGATAAGAAGGCCTCCGGTTGTGTCTCCGGAGCAGGGCGGGCACGGCGAGCACGGCGAGGGGAGGTGGGACGGGGCGGGACGGGGGGGGGGGCGTCCGGGAGGTCGTCCTGCCCCCCGGTCCCTCGGCCTTGAAAGTCACCGTCGTTTTACGCGGTCGAATTCACTGGCGTGCGTCGGGCCGCTTGCGAATGGCTTTGTTGGAAACCCGCCGCGCCGCCACCGCGTGGTCGTCGTCTGGGCCCGCAGGCCGCAGGGGGTGCGACGTACAGGCAGACACCTACGGGGCCTGGGCCTGGGGTCTGGCGGGCCGGGTCCTGGACGAGCCGAGTAGGCGGTGCGCACGGCCCAGCCGCCCAGCCGGGCTGCAGGGAGCCGAGCCGAGCCGGTGAAGCTCGCCACCTGTTGAACCTTCCGGGGCGGCCACGGCGTGGGCGAGGCTTAGGCTGGTCGGACCAGGCCCTCATTAGACGCGAAGCTTGAACGGCGATGCAGGAAGCTGGCACTATCAGGCTGCTTCCTGGAGTCTGGAGACTTTTTCTCGTTCGCAGGGGAGCTTTTCTTGCAGGAGACCGCACGCCGGGCTCGCACTATTTAATTTTTCGCCCCAAGTTTGGAGCAGTTGGTCGTGCGATGCCCCACTCCCCACCCCGGACCGTTCCACGCGCGGTTCCACGCCGATCCGTAGGCCGTTCCAGCGCGCAGCTGGCCCGGCTAGTCGGGGGCGAGGCGAGGCCGAGGTCACGGCCGGTGGGGCGGTCACGCGGTCACGCGGTCACGCGGTCACGCGGTCACGCGGTCACGCGGTCACGCGGTCACGCGGCGGTCACGCGGTCACGCGGTCACGCGGTCACGCGGTCACGCGGTCACGCGGTCACTCTCCCGGGCCGTGCCATCCAGAGCCATCAAGGCGGCCGTTCTGGCACGGGATACGGCGGCTATGGCCTCGGTAGCCCAGATGAAAGTGCGTTCCGGAGTGTGGCCGACTCACAACCTCCTCGTGGTCATGCTCCCTCCACGGCCTATGCGGGCTGATTCCGAGTGGGGGTGTCTCTCCCGCACGCGCGGGGCCTCCTGTGTGGGTGCGAGTGAGACAAGGGCGGGACTCTTGGCTTTCGGTGGTGGTCTCGCGGCATGGCCCATCTCCCCGAGAGAAGAGAGAAGTCCCTTCCTCGGAGTCCCACTGCCGTGGCGGTCGGAGCGCCTGCGGAACGGACGGTAGGCATCCGCCTGGGCGCGTGACGTGCGCGTCGTGCGGGCTGGCCTATCCTCCGTTCCGCAGGCGCTTGGCCAAGCTTGGCCCTGCGGTGGTGCGGGCTTCCGGCCAGCCCCAGTCTGCCCGCCAGGCAGGCAAACCCTAGTTATTGCCTGGTAGGCAGGCTGGGCTGGGGCTGACGCTGAGGCCTTACGCGGAGGCGTCGCCGGCCCTTCTCGGACGCGATTCCACGAGGCTTCTATGACAGAGTCGTCTTCGTCGCTCTGTCTCTCTTGCTCCGAGCGGGAGTGCGAGAGAGACTCTGGCAATCAGCGCCGGCGGGGCTTTGGCAGGTGCATGTATCTTGGCCGCCCGCGCTCCGCGCCGCTCCCTCCGGCCGGCGAACCGTTCGTTTTCATTAAGCCGGGACACTTTAAGAGGGGAGAGGAAGCCAAAGAACTCAAGGCCGGACGGTAAATAATCGTAAATCCCGACCCGTTTTCATTGCAGCGCGGGGCTCGCGCGCTCCTCCCTCCGCAATCCCCCAAAACAACGTCATGTTCGTGCAACGTTTTACCGATGGGTTGCAGGCCTGCCGTCGGTGTTCGTGGTGGCGTGGGTGGTCACCAGGATCTACGTGGACAACGGCCTGTGCTGGACCACCAACGAGAACGCCGTCATCTTCCTGCTGGTCAGGGTGCCCATCACCGTCTCGATAGTGGTAAGTTGTCAAAGAGCCGGACGTGTGTGTGTGTGTGTGTGTGTGTGCGCGCGCGCGCGTTTGTGAGTGTGTGGTCCCTCTCCAGTGACGGAGCAAAATGTGAGTTTGCCGATGGTGTTCTTATACGGGGGATAAAGTTTTACCAATAGAATGAGAGGAGGGCCGAGTTCTGGACGGGGGACACTCCATTGTTGAGGACGTCGTCGCCGCCGGCTGGCCCCGCTGGCCCCGCTGGCCCCGCTGGTCCCGCTGGCTGTCCGCGCCCAAAGTAGCAATATGGCTGCATTTCGCCTTGCCTTTGGCCTGCCTGGTCCTAAGGGGTGAGTCGCAGGGCTTTTGGAGCACTCGAACAAATTACTCTGCGAGAGGACTCGAACATACGTGAGCAACAGACATTCTTCCGAGATGGCCCCCCGCCCTGGGCCCCCGCCGCCTCCGCCCCACGCGTGCGCCACGCCAGGCCTATAGAGCCTGACTCCAGCCCAGGGGCGGGAAAGGGAGGGGGGAGGGGGGACGGGCCGCCATGCGCGCCTTCCCCGGACTCCTCGGCACTCGATATATAAAACGAGTCACAGAGACATTCCTGACTGCTCATCGCGGGCCTGGCGAGCTCCCCCACCCACCGGCGTGGGCTGCGATGCAGGGGTGCCTATGACAAACCCAGACGACACTGGAAAAAAATGACGCTCGTTTGCATTATCGTTTCGTTGTCGGTTTTGTACTTTCCGCCGGGTATTTCGCTCGGTTTGGCTCGAGGCGGCCCTCTCGGACCACCTTTCAACACGTTCCAACACGGCCGCCGCCGTCTCCCACCCCTCTGACCTGCAGCGCAGCCAGCGCAGCGCGCCTCTATGCGGTCCTGTCCTCGATTTTTCCGAGATATGCTTCTTGTCTCCCCCCCCCCCCATTCCCCTCCTTGCCCCTCTACCGCCTCCGCTGCAGGGGTTTCGCAAGGAGTACAACAATTGTTGTTGTCCCGCTCTTGTTGTTTTTGTTGCGTGCCAACTTCCCGAAGCGCGCTGTCGAATCCCCCGGCGACGCGCCGCAACTTTCGGGTGGTGTTTTCCGGGCGCGGCCCTCGGCGCGGCCCCGGGCCAGGATCGGCCGTGCACTGCCGCTGCGACGAGGCGGGGCGGGGCGGGGCAGCCCGACTTGGCTCCTTGTTTTTCCGACGAGTGGATGGATTCATTGTGGCACTCGTGGCTGGTCCTGGCTGGCCTCGGCTGTCTAGGTCAGCCTCGGAGCTGCGTCCCGTGGCGGCGGCCGAAACTCTAGACGCGTTTTGAGCTCCAGAGTCGCTAAACCGGACTCGAACCGAACATGTGACCCTACAAATGGATTCCTCGTTCGGAGAGCAATCTATTGGTGGGGTCACACGTTAGTTTCAAGTCCCATTTAGCGACTTTGGAGCTCAAAAACGCGTTTGGAATTTCGACCGCCTCAACCGGCCTTCTGGCCCACTGTGTGTGCCTCATCCGGCCCCGCGATACGCCGCACCGGCGCGCCACCCAAATGGAAAAGTACGTCACGCGTGCCAACTTGAGCCCCTCCGCGGGCTGGGCTTACCTGCGACGCGGCTGCTCGGCCGGGATTGGGTTCAGGGTCTGTTCCGGTGTGCGCGGGGCCGCGGGGCTGCGCGTGCGAGGCTAGGCAGGCTAGGCAGGCTAGGCAAGAACGACGACACTGGAAATGCCACACGCGCCGCGCTGTGCCGTGTGCCTTGACACGCGCGTCTTGCTCTACTCCGCCTCGTCTCGATAGGAAAGCGTGCGTCACGGCGAGTACAGGTCCTCATCCCGTATTTCATTGCCCCTTCCCTCTTCCCCTCCGCTTTCCGAAAGCGGATTGCCCCCCCCCCCTCCCGGCCCCCAGGGGTGTGTCTCTCGCAGGCGCCATTACCGGAAGGGAGGGGGAAGGGGGCTGGGGTGATCGTGTTTGCTAACGAGTCACATTTCACTTGTTTCGCTATAGCGACGGCACGGCACGGCTCGCCGAGTGTGTTCAATTAACAGGAATTAGTTCGGCGGCGTGTGGACATTTTCGCCAAATATGAACTGATTGGGCTTCGTTTGTGTTGCACTTGCGGGGAACGGACAGAGCGTGCACTACTCCCCTGTGCGGACGTCCTCAACTCGTTACAAAAAAAAAGATCGACACACATTGCGACCTAAAAAATAAAAAGATATTCCCCAAATAAATATTGTCGCTCGTTCGCTGCTATATTCTTTTTTGTACCTCCAGAGAGCGACCGACGGGCAGCGAGTTGAGTTTTTCTGCCCGTTGTTTCTGGCGCGCTCGCGACTCGCAGTCACGGCCTTGTCGCTAATTGGCTGCAAATCGAGTTTCCCCGAAACGCAAACACGCCGCCCTGCACGCACACGCCACAGTGGGCGGTCCAAACCCCGGAGGCGGTTTGAGCTCCAGAGTCGCTGACTGGAACCGAACGTGTGACCCCTCCAATGGAATGCTCTTCGAACGAGGAATCCATTGGTGGGGTCACACGTTCGGTTCGAGTCCTGTTCAGCGACTCTAGAGATCAAAACGCGTCTGTCTCCTGGACCACTGTGTACGCCCTGCCGACTAGCCAGCGGGACCTCTGGAGTCGGACTTGTACGCCGTGGCCACTCGAACTCCAAACTCGGAGCTCGAGCGAGTACTCGGGACGGGTGCATGAAAATGAGAGAAAGGGAAGCGGAGTGCAGGGGCTGCAGGGGCTGCGAAGACGGAGGCCATAAAGGCGTGGGTGGCACGCCCTGGCCACCCGTCACCCAGGGCCTGCCTGGCCAGCCTGCAGACGGTCGTCGCTCTGTCTCTCTCGCACCCCTGCGGGACGCCGCGCGAGTGCGACAGAGACAGAATCCGCCTCAGCGCCTCCAATATCGCATCCGCAGGACATTACGGCGACCATCTCCCGCGAACGCCTGGCCAACGCCCCGCCGCTAGAGTGCACAGTGTAGTCGCCACGCGTCGCTTGTAGAGCGCACAGTGTAGTCTCCACGCGCCGCCGCCAGAGCGCATAGTGTAGTGCGCCACGCGTCGCTTCTAGAGCGCACAGTGTAGTCTCCACGCGCCGCCGCCAGAGCGCACAGTGTAGTCTCCACGCGCCGCCGCCAGAGCGCACAGTGTAGTCGCCACGCCACGCGTCGCTTCTAGAGCGCACAGTGTAGTCGCCACGCCACGCGTCGCTTCTAGAGCGCACAGTGTAGTCTCCACGCGCCGCCGCCAGAGCGCACAGTGTAGTCTCCACGCGCCGCCGCCAGAGCGCACAGTGTAGTCTCCACGCGCCGCCGCCAGAGCGCACAGTGTAGTCGCCACGCCACGCGTCGCTTCTAGAGCGCACAGTGTAGTCTCCACGCGCCGCCGCCAGAGCGCACAGTGTAGTCGCCACGCGTCACCGATGGAACGTACAGTGTAGTCGCAACGTGGGCCGAAGCCGGCCGAAGCGAAAGCTCTCCGAGCGACCGTGAGGCAGTGGATCAGTCCACTGTCTCAAGGGAGTTACCACACTGCCAAGAGGAACTTGGATTCTCGTTCTGCTCACGTCGTGCCTGTGTGCTTCCAGGTCAACTTCCTGCTGTTCCTCAACATCATCCGGATGCTGATGAAGAAGCTCCAGGCGTCCATCTGTGACGAGACGCGGCGGCACAGGTATAGGTGAGGCGGCCAGGCTGCGATGCATGTCCGTCCGTCTCTGTCTATCTATCTATCTATCTCCCTCTCTATCGCACGCACTGTCACTGTCACGCTGTCACGGGAATTTAAAGAACAGTTGCTCCCCAAACCGGTGGTGAAACCAAACTGACTCAAGTCTCTTTCGCCTTGTTTTTTCTCGTGGCTCCGTTGTTGCTTTTACGTATTCTAAAAACTCAACAGTGAACATTTCTGCCCCTTCCGCATTTTTGTGATGCAGAGGGTGCAAATTCTCTGTACACGGTTGGGTTTCCACGTTTGTTTCACCGTCCCCCGTTGCAGTGTGCACACATGTATTTGTCGTCTCGTCTTCTGTGGACCTAGTCGCGGATCAGAGACTCAGCTTCCGTGCGCTTCCGTTTGTCTGGCTGGGCCAATGGGCGTTCGAAGTTGGAACTTGAGCTGCACTAACGAGGAGTAGAGATTCACTCGAGAAACGCGCGTCGAACAATTAAAGAGAACAACGACCGATTGCCATCCACTTAACGTCTAGTGTTAGAAATTGACGGAAGCTGACTCTCGTCCGCTTATCTCGAGTGTGACTCCTCCGCTCGTCACGAAGTCTGCCGATGCACCTCCGGTATTCAGTGAGCAGAAAGCAAAGCACGTTTTCCGTTGACGCATTGTGCACTGCACTGGCAGTCCGGGTTCTTGTTTGCTTTCGAATTTTTGTTTTCGTTTTGAGTTTTTAATGGGAAAAGTGCACTGGCCACGGGCATGGCGCTCCTGCTGCCGCGGCCAGCATTTTTTGCTTGACGGCCACCAGCCGAAGGGACCGCCTGCGGACGGGAGCATAGGCAACCCGCACTCCGGCAGGCACGGCGGGTCTGCCTTGCTTTCTCTCTATCTCTGTCTGGCCTTCGGCGACCCTCGGCTCGGACAGGTCTGCATTGGGTTTGTTCGCTGCTTGGCAGGCGCTGGGCGAAGTCGACGCTGGTGCTGATGCCGCTGTTCGGGGCGCACTACGCCCTGTTCCTGGGGATGTCGTACGGCGTGCACAACCAGGCCTCCAAGTCCAGGGGCGACGAGATGGTGGAGACCATCTGGCTGTTCCTCGACCAGGCCTTCGCCTCCTTCCAGGTAAGCGCCGCTCTGTCTCGCTCGCACTTATGAGGCGTCCCGTGTGGGTGGGAGAGAGACAGAGCGACGACAACGACACTCGGAATCAGTGAGGCGGGAGCGGGCGGGAGGCCCCTTACACAAAGACAACGACGGCCGCCGGCCATTTCACTCGGCTTCCACCGGTTTCCACCGACGGCGGAGGCGGCAGCCCCCTCCCTCTTGGCGAGAAAGTTGCTGGTCGTCGAAACGGAGGCGCATATCGCGAACTACCCTCTTTTTCTCCTCGTTGGCTAGTGCCCGCCTGGCCGGGCCTGGCCGCGCGTGCAGAGTGGTGATGGGGCTTAACTGGCGCCAAGGGAACCCGGACGCCCGGGACGCCCGGGTCGGGGTTGTTCGCAAATCACCGGAAATCCGGGCGTCATCCCCCCCCCCCCCGGCGCGTGCTGATCATAGAGGGGTGGGGTGACAAATCCCGTCCATTCTACAGCACGCGTCGGACGGTCATTAAAAGCGTCGCCTCCTCCTTCTTCTTCTTCACACCACGGCTCGAACATGCTTCACCTGTGCACTTCCGAGTCTTGAAATTAACAAAATGTTGTTCTCGCAGGGCTTCTTCGTGGCGGTGCTCTTCTGCTTCATGAACGGCGAGGTGCGCGCCGAGCTGGACAAGGCGTGGAGCAGCCGGGCGCCGCTGTGGGGCGGGCGCCGCCAAGGCTTCTGGTTCAAGTCGCGCGCCGCCAGGCACCCGTCCCTGCACTCCTACGACACGTGCTCCAGCTACGGCAACCACCAGGTACGGCCCACAGTGGGCCAGAAAACCAGTGGAGGTGGCCAAAACTCTAGACGCGTTTCAAGCTCCAGAGTCACTAGATGAGACTCGAATCGAGCGTGTGACCCCACCAATGGATTCCTCGTTCGAAGAGCAATCCATTGGTGGGGTCACACGTTCGGTTCGAGTCCTGTTTAGCGACTCTGGAGCTTAAAACGCGTCTAGAGTTTTGGCCGCCTCCACCGGTCTTCTGGCCCACTGTGCGGCCCTCACAGCGGTGTCGTCGTTGTTGCTGCCGTCGTTGTTGTTGTTGACGTGACGCTCGTGGTGCTGCAGGCGCCGTGGGCGATCCGCAAGCGCAGCGAGGGCCGCAGCACGGTGACGAGCACCACGGCCTTGCCCAGCGAGATGTGCGCCAGCACCGTGGTCTCGCCGCGCCCCGAGGAGGTGCCGCTCAGCGTGTCCACGGTGAGTGGTGCCAGCGTCCGCCAATTCGCCTCAGCTGTTCTCTGTTCTTCATTGCATCATGCTTCGTTGCTGTCTGATGCTGTGAAGCGAGCCTTGAGTGCCTCTGCTCTGCCCCGCCAGGTCAACGAGGGTGCCATGTCCTGCTCGCAGCTCTGAGGGCGTGCCCCGCCCCCCGGCAGGGCCGCACGCCTGCCGCAGGGGGGCCACGGCCAGGGCCAGGGCCACCACCTCGATGGCATCCACCTCCAGGTCCGGGACGTGGGGCCGGCGGCAGGCTACCGAGAGACCGCCCTCTGGAGGCCCGCGCCGAGCGACCGACCGCGCCACGCGCTGCGACTCCAGCGGCACTAGTAGTGCCAGCTAGTACACTGGCTACCGGCCGCTAGCAGCGCACCGTGCTGGTCGAGGTGGCGCAAGGTGTCCTCCAAGGTGTCTGCACTTCCACTGCAGTAGCATGCAGCAGTCGCAGGCCGACACGGGATCGGCAAATGGTCCTTAAAACCTTGGATAAGGCTTGGAAATTTTTCTACTTTTGTTTCAAACAAAAGAGAAAGAAGTAGAAGGAAATAGTGATTTAAAACAAAAAACTATGCCAAATTCAAGAGTTTTCTGATGAAAAATGTGTCTGTGTGTGCGTGCGCGCGCGCGCGTGTGTGTGAGAGTGCAGTATATTTTAAGACTCTCAAGAATTTTTGAGTGAAGTGTGCACCCTCCTCTGGCTGAACTTTTATTTCCTGCACGGTTGCTTCATACACTTCACCCCTACAAATTGTGCTACCAAGGTGAACAGAAGTGATATGGCGTCAAAATGAGTCCTTTTCTTCGGAAATACGGACCACAACATGCAATCATGCATGCATCATTAATTAATCTGAAACCTTTTTGACATTCTCTAATCTCCTTGTTATTTTTTTATTGCTTTCTCAAGCTAACAGTACAAAGTAATTAGGGACATTGTTGCTAATAAAAACCCTTGAAAATGTGAGCAGGTCCACTTCAATTCAGTGTTTTAACTACAGCATTGACTTTTATTGTTTCATATTTATTGGATTGGTGAAATATAGGCGATATAAGTAGAAGAGAAGAGTAATCTATTTTCACATTACTGGAGAAACAGGGTTGACTTGTTTTAAATAAACACAAATTATTTTCCTCCCTTGGTAAATCATGTATGAATTGAATTCACTAGAAAAACGTCTGCAGCAAGACATGAGTAGACAGGACTGTTGACCTCAAATGATGGAAAGAGCCCTAATTTAAGCTGTATTTGTTTTTATCTCTGCAAAAAACCTGAACTAAGTTACCTTCCTTTGGCCAGGGATCCAGTTTTCCATTTGAGTGTTATTTTCTCTACATATCCTAGTCAGATAATACCAAAACTAATCGGTCACTACTAAGTATTGCTCCACAGTTCTCAGAAGAAAAAAGGAGCGATTATCTTGGGGAAATGTTATGCTTTGGTCAAATAGGAAAAAGCCTTTTTCTTTTCCATTTTTACGACTGTATAGTGAGTTTAGTATTAGAATCTTGAATTTATTTCCTGAGCATTGTTATTAGTTAAGACAATTTTGTCACAGAGGTCTCATTGATGGTTTTGGTCTCATTTTGTGCACATGTGACGTTATTGGTAACTGAAATAGGGCATGATGAAGATTGTTTTTCTCGTGCACCACTCAAAAACAAATATACAAATGAAGTTTGGAAGGCCTAAGGCCAGCACTGCCCTAGTAGATGTAAATTGAAGTTTTCCCTTACAATCAGCAAGTATGAATTTTGTTTGCATTATGTGTGATGTATTCAAGACGTATTACAGTAGTTTCAAAATTAGGTGAAGCAGAAGTTTTCTGTAGGAACAACTTCACTAAATTTGGATTAGTTATTCTGCTCTCTAGTATTCTTTCTGTTTGTGGAGTGTTCTATATGTGAGTTAAGAAGTTCGGGAGGAATTAGTGTAAAAAGATTTTCCTTTAAGTTGTATGAAAGTTTATTAAAACTTTTACAAACTAGAGCAGAGGATTGATAAAATATGTTTTGTACCCATAGATGTCAAGTTAATTTAATCAGTCTGTTCTCTACCTCTTAAATAATAATCCATGTTTGAGTGACATGCTTTTTGCAAGAAAACCCTTCATGAAATAAAGTTATAAAATCAATTATCCCTAAGTTTGACAGTATAAAGAACAATCTTGAAGCATTGTCACCTCTTCACAAGGCATTTCCACATACCATTACACTCTGAGAATTTCTGTGAATGCTTTGGCAACCAAAAGGGTCTGGCTGAGTGATTCCTTCATGTCATCATCAGACACATTATATTTCCCTACAGCATGTTGTTCAAAGGTCATTTCTCTCAGACTCCTCCTGTACACATGATCATCTGATTCAGCCATTTTTTGACTTGACATGACATCTGAAATCATATTTGTCGAAGAAACAACCTCATTGCCAACAATCAAATTGAAATGACGAGCTGCTGACCTAAACTTCGTTTCAAAGATTCTCTGGTGTAAATCTGGATGCAAACAAAAGATGGAATAAGGAAAGAGAAAAGGGAAGAAATAATAAACACTAGCTATCAAACTTACCTTCTCTGAAATCATTTTTACCACATATAAGTGCTACGACTGCTCCATGCACTTTCAACTGGTTTAAGGAGTTTGGAAAGTGATGCAAATTTGCAACTACATAATGTTCCCCACCCGGAATGACCTTAGCTATGTTCAGAGTCTATTCAAAGGAAAATTGGGACACACACAAATTAGTATAATAATATCATGAAAGACAAAAGGCAAATTTTTAAAATGTATGCAGTATTATCAACACTTACAATGTCAGTCAGAGACGAAGATGAACCTGGACCCGGAATATCATACACATTCCAGTCAGTGAGCAGTTGAGAATTCCAGTCGTTTTGCTTTTCAACCATTGCATACCCAAGGAAATTGTCAGCAATGACAATACTAGTGAAAGATGAAATAGACTGAAACAAGGGAGATAAATTATTCTTAAAATATATTTTCAAATCGATTACAGTTGTCATAAATTCACTTCAATGTGCACATTACCTTTGGATTAGCAATTTCAGGCTTTACAGTTTTCATCAGATAATTCCATTTGCGAGAACACTTGGGTTTTGATTCGCGCAGTTTCTTTTTCTCAATCTTGTCAGTGTGAAAGCTTAGCAATTCACTTGGGTCACCACTGGACTTAAGTATAGTCTTGCATAAGCTTACTGCAGATGATGTGGGCAAAGCATGTCTTTCCAATAAATCATTTAAATCAGTCATTGGTCCCGTTGTTGGCAGTGTCTCAGCTATCTTATTGAGAGGTCGTAGTTTTCCTGGCCTAAGAATAAGTTAAATATTACCCTGACCCTTTCAATATTTTATATCTTAACAGAAGAAAACTTTAGGGGTATAACTTACCAAAGCAGTTCTTTTGGATCTAATTTGTTGACAAAATTGATTATTTTGGACTGTTCAGATTCAGAAAAAAGAGTCTTCAGTTTAAGTATACCAGTTGTATACAAAGGGCGAATCAGAAAACAACTGCAGCTGAGGACCTGTCACAAAAAGGTGTCATTATGTTAGATGCCATACTCAGGCAGAAAAAAAAAGCAATCAACGAAGGTACCTCTTTCTTGAAGAAAGGCCTCCGCTCAAAATACAGGGAACCGCAAATAGATCTTGATTCCAAATCTCGAGGTAGTTTAGTTGCAAAGTGCTGAAAAATAAATAATTTAAAGAGCTTTACATTGTCACACAGTAGAAACTCTATGGTCAGCGAGTGTTCTAATTCAAACCGTAGAAAGACCGAGGGTCAAAAGAACCCGACCCCTTCGGCCAGGGTTTTCCGGTTACAGCGTTTAAACCGCTCTTCCCACGGGTTTTGAATAGGTTAGGCACTGTACACATGAATAGTTTTCATCAACACTTACGAGATTTTTCCAAAAATTGGCATTCCTTATGGACAACATAGCCAGAATTTTGTTTAGACTCTTAAGGACTACTCAATGACCATTAAATCACTGAATGAAGTTAAAACACTGAACAACAACAAACAACAGCTTCTTCCCCTGCAGACCGCTACCTGCGAATAGACAAGGACTTCTCGGCGCTCTTCACACGAAATTATCTTGTCAATAGCGCTTGGCTATTCACAGTGATACCTTTCTGCGTTCTGCTTTGCACACTCCACTCCACGTGTTTATATCAGTTTAACTAAAATATCTTGGACTTTAAGTGACTTACCCTCAACTTTAGAAACATGTCCATGTTGGCCGAACCGAGAGCAAAAAAACGGAAATACAATGCTCATTCGGCGAAAATCAATGCCAACTGGGCGCAAGGTACGAAATTCTTGTAACCTTTCGCTTTGACACCGCATGTATAGCCAGAAGTCAGAGTGTTCAGGGCTGTGGTATTTATTCCCGCGTTCCGTTGGGGTTTGGGTTCACTTCTCGACTCTCAGATATGGTTGTCATAAATGGTTGTGAGTTTTTGTTCACCGGGCATGATTTGCACCTTCCGAGTTTAAAATCCTTGTTTTGAGCAGCCGTTATAGTTGTTGCGTCTGGATATGTTGTAAATTAAATTGATTAGTCTTTTTGTTAATTGTCCTTTTATTAATTGTACATTTTGTTTTGTTTCATGTGATGCTTCCAGAGACCAACAGTATTGGTTTGAAATTGATTCAAAAAATGGGATGGTCGGAGGGCAAAGGCCTGGGTGTGAACGAGAGTGGCAAAGCTGAACCCTTGCATATAGCCTTCAAAGCTGACAATAGAGGTATGTTTTACGTAGCTCATAAATAAATGATTTTTTTTTTTTTCACTTAATTTTAACTGCATTTAAATTTGTGTTCTTATTTGCAGGTTTAGGTTGTCTAGGTTTAGAGGGCGATATTGCTGTTGCCCAACAGAGAGGGTTTGAAGAACTTCTTGCAAATCTTTCCCAAGAAAATGGGACATCAGATGATGTAGCCAAGTTCTCAGAAGAGAGAGAAACCAAATCACTTGAATCAATGTCTGAAAAGTCAAGAGCCCGTGTGCAGTAAGCATACTTTCTGAAATGATGGATATTTTAACTATTCCTATATTACTGTTTAATTTTTGACCTGTTGCTTGTTTTCAGTTATCATAAGTTCACTCGGGGTAAGGATCTATCACGGGCCTCCAGTAAGGATTTGGCCTGTATTTTAGGAGTACCAGATCCAGACTCTAGCCAGAGGAAACTTAATGACGATTTGGCTGAGGTGGCTGTAGGGCCTCAAATTGAATACCACAATTTCCAAAGGCTAGAAAGCCGTGGGAGCAGTGTAGATTATTTTAACAATTTGGCCAAAAAGAAGAAGGCTCAAGTGGATCGAAGAGATAAAGTGAACAATGAGGAAGACAACAGCAGTGAAGATGCTGCCTTGGTTGGTAAAGAAAATGACCCTGGCAATAACTCAATTTTAGACAGTTCCTCAAAGGAACGAAGGAAAAGTGTCACATGGGGTGATGTTGAGGTTTCATTTGTTTCAAAGTACATAAAAGATATGGCTGATACTTCAACAGAATCGGTAAATGACACATCATTAGATGAGCTTCAAGGTAATGAAGCTGAGGAAGTAAGATTGGAAAATGGGTATGAAAAGAAATCAAAGAAGAAAAAGAAAAGGAAGGACACTGATGAACCTCTTGATGACACAACACCCTCGAATGTTGACTCTGTTCCAGAAATTGTTGACCAGTGTCCAGAAGTCCCTCAAAACAAGAAGAAAAAGAAGAAAAAGGTACAGGAAACTGAAATTAATGATATCTTTGATTGCAGTTCTTCATTAGACAATAGTACTCCAACAGTGAAAAAGAAGAAATCGAAAGACAAAAGTAGAAAACTGGGTTCTCTGAGTATTTCGGAAACAACTGTAGACAATGCCAATGGCGATTTGGGCACAGAAATTGGTGATGAGTGCTCAGAAGTTCGTCAAAACAAGAAGAAAAAGAAGAAAGAGATGCAGGAAACTGAAATTAATGATATCTTGGATTGCAGTAGCCCTCCAATAGCAAAAAAGAAGAAATCTAAAGGCAAAAGTGGAAAACTGGATGAATCTCCAAGTAATTTGGAAACATCTGTAGACAAGGCCACTTGTGATTTGGTCACAGAAATTGTTGATGGGTTCTCAGAAGACCATCAAAACAAGAAGAAAAAGAAAAAGGAGAGACTCGAAATCCTGGATAAAAGTTTGGATTGTAGTTCTTCATTGGAATACTCCGTTGTAGAAGAAAACACACCAAAAGTGAAAAAGAAGAAATCTAAAGATGTAAGTGGAAAATCAAACGAATCTCTCAGTACTTTGCAAACTTCTGTGGTCAAGGACAATGATAATTTTGTTACAGAAGTTTCTGGCAAGTGCTTAGAAGTTCAGAAGAAACAGAAGAAAAAGAAAAAAGATATTCAGGAAGCAGAAAATAATTTAGACTGCAGTGTTGATTGCATTTCTTTTGTGAATTCCGCCGCTTTTGAAGCCACTTCAAAAGGAACAAACAAGAAACCTGAAGATATAAGCGAAAGACTGGTTGACTCTCCAAGTACCAAGAAAAATTCTGAGGACAAGGAAGTCAAGGCTGCATCGGCAAGTAGCAACATAAAAACTCTTAAATTCAAGAAACTGAAACGAAAACTTGCCCATTCAAGTGATAACTCCAGGGAAAATATTGAAATTGTCAACTTAGAGGAAAGAAAACAAAACAAAAGTAAAAGGAAGCAAAGTCCTGTGGAAGATCAATTTATTGAAATTGTTGAAGTTGTCAACCTTGAGGACGAAAGAGCAAACAAAAAGAAAAGGAAGCAAAGTCCTGAGGAAGATCAAGCTACAAATTTTGCACCTTTGGAAAAAAAAAGAAAAGGACCTGATGTTGAATTATCTAATAGTTCTACAGCAGAATCGAATGGTACACATGCCCTCTCTGCGTTAACTTTGGAGCGGATGGAGAAATGGAAACAGCGCAAACAATCGAAAAAAGGGAATTCTGTCCTAGAAAATAAAACTGAACCTGTTGAAACTAAAAAAAACACAAAACAGAGAAAAAAGGAGGGAAAGAAGGACGAAGAGGAAAAAATTGTCATTAAATTAATGCCTTCATTAGATTTTACTTCAGATAAAAGTATTGTAAATTATAATCACAGAAAACTTTATGCAGCTCTGGGTTATAGCGTGAAAGATGCCACAGATAAAGTTGCTACTATTGTGATGCCTCCAACAAAAATCCCTGGTTCCAATTTAGATTCAATTCTTGGATACGGGGTACAGTGTTCGTGATTTTTTTTGTGTTAAACCTTTACCAGTGTGATGACTGTGCTGTTCATGTGGACTATTAAATTGTATGCATTTTTGCATATATTATATTTGAGGAAGCCTTGACGGTCTTCTATTCTGCATTGTACATTGTTGTTTGTAAATTTTGTAACATGTTCGTCAATTGTTGTCAGCCTTACCGACTCTTCATTCATTTTAATTAAAATGCATACTCATTGTTGTAAAATTGGTATTTCACTTATTTTCTTCCATCATTTGTTTCATTCAAACGGGTGTAATAACCCTTAATTATGGAACATTCTCTATGACGGAGATACTGCAAACTCGGCGTCAAGCGACGCGGAATTGGCCAAGGTGATGCGCGTCTTCGCGGGGCGGGGAATGGAAGGGGAGGGGAGGGCTTGATCGCCGCGCTGGGGTGGCGCCACGCGTGCTTAGCACCAGTTTGTCGCGGGAAAGGAAGAGGGGGGGGAGGCGGCGGAGCGGCGGACTACCCCCGCGAGGGCTCTGCGGAGGGCGGTAGGCCCCGGGCAGGCCCGGCACCCCCAGTCTTGCCAGCAGTGGGCTCACGGCTCGCCCCTGGAGCTAGGAACGGAATACCGGGCGGGGCCCTGGACTCGGTCCTGGGGGCCTTGAAGAACTATGGCTCGCTGGACCTCGCGGTGGACCCGTGGCCAGGCTTGACCAGCCTCAGCCTGCCCAGGCAGTGACGAACTGGCCTTGCGAACAGAGGTGAGGTTGCCGCCATTCAGACGAGTGGTACAGTGCAGTACTTAGAAGCTGCTTTGCCAAAAAGAATAAGTGCCAGGTTTCGATAGTCAGAAGTGTTTCATCGAAAACCAATGGAAGTACGGAACTTCCCTCGAGACCTGCCGTGTTTTGGATCGCAGTATTGCGACCGAACTACTTGCCCCCCGTACGCCCCTTGCCAAAACAGGAGGGGTGAAGAGTTGGGCTGTTGCTCGCGGCCGGGCCTGGCCTCATTCCAAACTCGCTCTGTCTCTCTCGCACCCCTGCCGGTGGCCCCATGCCCCCCATGATGGCGAGAGAGACAGAGCGACTCGAGCTGCGGCACGTGCGCCGGGCAGGTAGGCCGCCCTTCGTGTTTGGTTGCCAGGGGCTCCGCTAGCTCCGCACCCTCCGCCCGCCATTCGCCGCGCTGCAGCGCTCAATGCATCCCCTCCCCGGCCTTCCCCGCCGCGGGCAGCCGCGGGGCTCCTGTCAAGAGTGCGTGTAATTTTCCACTTTTCATATCGCGACGCGGGAATAGCGGACAGAGGCCCGCGAGTTACGGAAATCTGTTGGAGCCTCCAGTGTCCCTTCCGCGCGCAATGTCGTGTCCCCTCGGTCCCCTCTCCACGAAGCTGCGAAGCTCGTCTCCTCTTCACCCAGCCCCGGTCCAGTGAGACTCAACCTCCAGCGCGCGGCAGTCGGACCGCCAGTCTCCACTCCACAGTCCAAGGCGGCGCCTCAGACCTCAGCAGCATCAGCATGGCCCCCTTCTTGGCCTTCGAGAGCCACTTCCAATGGTGAACGACCCCCGCTGTGACGGCGCGGCTTTCTTTGCAGGCTGCCTAACGTCCTTGCTGATGTCCTTGCTGGTGCAGGATGCAGGTGGAGCGCCGCTGCCGCTGGGGCGCTGAGGGGAGTCCGAGGGGCAGCCCGGAGCCCCTGGCCCTGCACCTCCAGCTGGCCAAGCTGGACCTCTTCAACTTCGACTCGGCGGCGGCCTGGCACAGCCCAGTGGTGCTCACGTCGCCGCGGTCCCTGGCGGCGTGTCGGCGCGCCGGCGTCAAGGTGCGTGCAGTGCTGCAGCAGCCGCCGTGGAGCAAGAGGGAAACCCTCGGTTCGTCCCAACTCATTCCCGTGTGTCCGCTCGCAGCCGGTGGAGCTCCTGTACCGCAGCGAGCAGGAGGTGCTGGCGACGCTGCCGCCCGATGTGCCCTCCAGCGTGCTCAAGGCCGTGCACCGCAGGACGGAGGACGAACGGCAGGGTGAGTCGTCCGCGCAGCACTCTCGCACTCATGGAGTGCATCGTCTTAGAGAGACAGTGACAACGTCTTCTTCCCCGACAGCCAAACTGCACGCGTGTCGGGCCATCCGACACCAGCTGGTGCAGCAGGCCGGTCGCTTTGGCCAGGACTCCAGCCGGGGCTCCAGCAAGGGCTCCAGTCCCCCGCGCCACGTCGGCCACGTCTTCCTGCCTGACTCGCCGAAACGCGACCATGACGCCGCCCTGGCGGCCCCGCTGTTCCCCGCCAAGAGGGACGTTCTCCAGGCAGCCTCGCCCGAGGGCCCCGAGGGCGACGCCAAGGTGGTCGCCAGGGCCCCGGGGACGCCCCCCGAGGACTGCAGGAAGGACGCCAAAAAGGTCATCACGTTTAGCGCGCACTGCACGTCGCCGTCGCCGCCGCCCTCGCGGAAGGAGCTCCTCGACAAGGAGAACGCCGCCAGGCTTGCCAACAGGGTGAGCCTCGAACCTGCTCTCGACTCCAGGCAGGGTTCCCGGCCGGAATGCCGCCTGGAGGCCAAGCCCGTCTCGAGGCTGGACAGGCTGGACGTCGCCCTGGGGGCCATCAGCCCCAACCTGAGCGCGGCCACCAGCCCGGCCCGCAGCGTGAGGAGCCAGCGCAGCACGCCGTCGACGGACAGGTGAACAGAGCAAGCGTCCTCTTTTTCGAAGTTTGGCCTCCGGTTCCCCGGCTAACCTTCTCTGCACTTAGGCCGCGCACGGTGCTCGTGGACTGCTGGGGGCAGGCCAAGTCTGTGCCGGCCCAGCGGCCGGCAGGGACGCCGCCGAACCCACGCCGTCGACCCCCGCGCCCCGCGTCCTCGGGCACGCTGTCGTCGCAGTCCGAGTCTCGGTGCTCGTCGCGGATGCGCCCCCGTCGGCGCGCCGCTCGGCCACTGCGGCCTCCCGGGTCGCGGCTCGGCGCGCGACGCACCCTGTTCCGCGGGCTGCGGGGGGCGGTGCGCGTGGGCAGCGCATCGACGTCGTGCCCCTCGCCGCGGAAAGCCGCCTGCCTGTCGCCCAGGAAGGCGGCGTCCTTGTCCGTCCCGGACTGCGACAGCGGCCGCGGCAGCAGCACCGTCCACAGCGCCGAGCACGGCGTCGTGCACAGCCTGCGCCTGTCCAGGCTGGAGACCGCCACGCCCAGCGACCTGGGCTCCTGGATGCCGGGGTGAGTCTCTTCCGGCAGGCTGGACTGGACGCGCCTCACCTGCTTCGCGCTGCCTCGCGCTCGAGGCGCTGGGCGGCGTGACAGTTCGGCGCCACGCCCGGCCAGCCGCCCACGCACTCCGGGCACTGCGGGCCGCGCCGCCTGTCGCGCCGTAACGCGCTGACGACTTGATGACTACGAGGCGGGCGCGCTGATTACGCGCGGCGCTAACTTGCAAACGACCTGTGCTGCTGCAGGAGCGTGCTGGGCCTCGGCCTCGGCCTGGGCGAGGAGGTGGTGGTGCCGGAGCACGACCGCCGCATCCTCGAGAGCATGGCGATGAAGAAGCAGCAGGAGCGGCGCGACGAGGAGGCGGCCCACCGCGCGCACCTGCAGTGGGAGCAGGAGCGACAGCTGCGGCGGCAGGTCTGTCTGTCTGTCTATCCTCGTCTGTCGCTTCGACCAACCATCGCGAAATGTGGCTTTCGTTCGATTTACGTGCGGTTTGGATTCCCTTGCTAGATGGAGCTGGAGCGCGCGGCCAAGTGGCAGGCGAGCGTCAACGCGAGGCGGCAGTGGGAGGCCAAGGAGAACGCACGCAGGTTTGGCGGCTGAGTCTCAGAGTCTGCTGACTACCGCGCGGCTCCCACTAACGTGGTCCCTCTGTCCAGGATGGAGGCCGTGAAGCGCAGCCTGCGCCTGGCGCAGCAGCGACTGGAGGAGAGCATCCGCCTCAAGGAGGAGAGGGTGCAGCTGCGCGTGCTGGAGGAGGACGTGCAGAGGGTGGGTAGCTCTGTCTCTCTCGCTCCCACGGGTTGCCCTATGAGTGCGACAGAGACAGAGAGAGTCTGTTTGGGATCGAGTGAAAGTGGCAACGTTTTGTCCTACAAAGGGTGGTTTCGTCCAAACGACGTCAAATGATGTCATTTTGACGTGAAAATGGAGCCAAGGTGCTCATTTGACTTCCTCCGCTTTGCCAGATGGTGCTGCAGGGCGAGCGGAGCAAGGAGTACGCGGCGCGGCGCCTCGAAGTGGAGGAGAAGCTGCTGCACATCCAGGAGGGCGAGCGCAGCTACCGCCGCCTGCTGGACGAGGAGCTGCGGTCGCGGCAGGCGCAGGCGGAGGGCCGCCGGCAGCGCGCCACCGAGACGGAGAGGCAGAGGGCGGCGAGCGCGAACCGCGAGTGGGAGCGCTGCCGGCTGGAGCGGGCCTCGCTGCTCGCGGTGCAGGCCGAGGAGAGCGTCCGCGTGATGCGCGCGTCGGCCCGCGAGCGCCACCAGCGCGCCGCCAACAACAAGGGCCGCATCCGCCGGCGCCGCCAGCAGCGCGCCCTGCAGGCCAGGTGCGGGGGCTTCCCTTTTCACAGTGGGCCAGAAGACCGATGGGGGGAGCGGGCAAAATTCGAGACGCGTTTTGAGCTCCAGAGACGCTAAATGGGACTCGAACCGAACGTGTGACCCGCACCAATGGATTGCTCTGCCAACGAAGAATCCATTGGTGGGGTCACACTCTCGGTTCAAGTCCCATTTAGCGATTCTGAAGCTCAAAACGCGTCTAGAGTTTTGACCTGTCTTCTGGCCCACTGTGGGTCGTTTGTCACCTCGTCCTCTCTGCTAACTGCACTCTCTCCGCCACGCCGCCCAGCCTGGAGCGCGAGGCCAAGCACTCGGACGCGCGCGCCCTGCACGCCGACCTGGAGCACGGCCTGCAGCTGTGGCGCGAGCGCTGCGCCGCCCTGCGCGAGAAGGCCGCCCTGCGCGCCCAGGAGCGCGCCCTGGAGCACCGCGAGTACGTGCGCGCCAAGCTGCACCGCAGCAACCAGCGCCGCCGCCGCCAGCACCGCGTGCTGCACGCCAGGTGCGCGACGACGAACAGGACCCTCTGGACGACGTGCTCGGGGACGCTTTAACGGCCTCTCTGTGGCAGGGTCCTGGCGGAGGAGGAGTGCCGGCAGCGTGCGCAGCGCGGGGAGATCCGCGACAAGGACCAGCGCATCCGCCAGCTGCGACGCCTCAAGGAGCGCGCCGTCGAGGAGTCCCGCGAGCAGGCCTACGCCACGGCCAGCCTGCGCGAGGAGCTGCGGTGAGCCCCGTCCCCAGCAGACTGGTTCCGGGAATCTCTCGCACCGTTCATGAGTGCGAGAGAGGCAGAGCGACGGAAACTACCCCCGGCATCACTCTGCCTGCGGTCCAGCGGAGCGCCCGCGGAGCTCGGGGTAGGCCGTGCCGGCAGACGCCGCAGTCACCCGGTTGCCTACCCGGAGGCCCGCCGGGCGCTCGTCGGCGCGGCGCGCACTCGCCCACCCAACCCAAGGCATACGGTTTGAAAGCGCTCTCTCCTCTGTGTTCGGCAGGAGGGCCCTGTCGCCCGAGACGTTCGATCGCAAGGCGGCGCGGGTGCAGCTGGAGATGAGGATCTCCACGGGGAGGGCGTGCGCGTCCAGCCTCAGCCCGGAGCCCACCAACCGGTCGCACATCTTCCTGGGCTAAGGCCGAGGGCTTCCAGGCCTCTCGCCAGGCCTGCAGCCCGACGCCCGCCCACATCCGTCTCAATCGTTCTTCCCTGTCGTCGACGCGACGGCCGCTCACCTTCTAACTTCAGTTTTTACCAGGCTACTTTCGTAGCAGTGCACTCCGTGGGAAACGGTGTCCATTTGTATCGAGTTTGAAATAAATTTTTGAAAAAACTTAACTGCGTTTCTCTTTCTTTCGACTGTGTACTCTGTGCTATTAGTGTGCCTTCCTTCCAGAAGTTCTAGTTCCAGCTTTGGTTCCTGGACAGGCCACCCGGGGCATAGGCAGCGCGTAGTACACCCTCGTCCCCTCTCGTCGCTGCGTCGTCGCAGTGCTGGGTGCTGGGTAGTTGCTGTCGGGCCTTGTTTATGGCCGCAGTCTGTGCCGTGCGCTGGGCTGATAACGGTGTTGCGACTTCTGCTATCTGCCGGGACCGAGAATTTCAGCACGCTTGCTTTTTGTGCCAGTGTTGTGCGCCGCGCAGCTGCGCGGGGTCGGGGTCGAACTTCCTGGTGTGCGTGTGTTAGTGTATGTGTGTGTGAGTGGGCGAGTTGTTAGTTGTTGTCTGCTCGCGACGGCGGCGGGCTCCTGTCAAAATGGTCCCGAATAAGGGACAGGTTCTCTTCGTGGGAGTTTCGATGCTCTCATTACTTTCTTCCTCGTTTGCCACTGTGAGGTACCAGCCGGAGCAGGTTCATCTTTCCTACGGAGGTACGCAGTACTCATAGAAATGTCCTAACCTCGATTCCAGTGTCAAAAGGTCCTGTCATTCTGTCACTATTCTCAGCCAAACGCTTTATTCATATGTCTTTCTACGTCCACTTCTTTGTTTCCTTGTTGTATTTCTAGGTGTTTGAAGTTACGGGACAAAGACTATACAGTGACAGTGTCGTACAATTTTCCAGTACTCTAAATCAGCTGATCCTTCTGTTTACAGAGAAAGAACGATCCATTGTGGTGACATGGTCGACAGGTAATAAAACAGATTCAATTGTGAAATATGGGGGAGGTGACCAGCTACTGCAAAGCAAGAGTGGCTCGTGTACTCTCTTCGTCGATGGAGGACATAAGCAAGCATCCCAGTATATTCATCGAGTCACCATATACTACGAAGATCCTGATAGTCTTCAGCCAGAGACTAAATACTGTATGTCATTCTTCCGTGGTACTTCAATTAATTAATTTTAAATCCTCTGTAGCTGTTTTATTTTTAGCTTCAATTTTTGTTCTTTCTGCTTCAGATTACCATGTTGGAAGTGACCTCGGCTGGTCGCCTGTGTTCTGGTTTGTGACTCCTCCAATGAACTTGACGGGGTGGGCGCCATCAATTGCTATCTATGGTGATATGGGCAATGTCAACGCCCAGTCTCTTCCTCGCCTTCAATCAGAAACTCAAGCTGGACTTTACGATGCCATAATTCATGTTGGAGATTTTGCCTACAATATGGATGATGTGAGTTTACTGGCCTCACCATGCCTTATTTAAGTGAGGGTAGTCACTTTTTGACTAAAATTTTTATTTTTAGTCTGATGGGGAAGTTGGTGATGAATTCATGCGCCAAATCGAATCGATTGCTGCTTATGTGCCCTATATGACAACTGTTGGAAATCATGAGAGTGCCTAGTAAGTACACTTTTTAAGTCAATGTTTTACATAAGGTTTAAAGTCTTTATAATCATCATGTATTTTTTTTTGCAGTAATTTCAGCCACTATAGAGCTCGTTTTAGCATGCCTGGCCCTTACGAAAACATGATGTTCAGTTTCAACATGGGCCCAATACATTTTATCTCATTCTCAACAGAATATTATTATTACTTGCGCTATGGTTTTAAGATGCTGGTGAAACAGTATGAATGGCTTGAAAATGACTTGAAAGTAAGTGTGCTATCCTTCTCATGTCCTGAACCTAATTGTATCTCGTCCCTCACAAATAATTAATGTTAATGTTTGGTGAAACTTTAGGAAGCCAGTCATCCTGCAAACAGAACAGTACGTCCATGGATCATTACAATGGGTCACAGACCCATGTATTGTAGTAACAAAGATAACGACGACTGCACCCTGGTGAAAAATAGATTACGCTATGGTCTCACTCCACTTCGCTTGTAAGTCAAAATACTCTTCCTTTTGCAAGTCTGTGTGTGTTACTACTACAATTTGAATGTGATGCATAAATTTTGCTTTGATTTCAGGTTTGCCCTTGAAGATCTTTTTTACAAGTATGGTGTTGATTTGGAAGTGTGGGCTCATGAGCATTCATATGAAAGATTCTGGCCTTTGTACAATTACAAAGTATATAATGGATCCTTTGACAAACCTTACACAAACCCAAAAGCCCCAGTTCATATTGTTGTGGGCTCTGCTGTAAGTTAAACCAACTCTTTTTCTATATTCTTCTGCAATGGAAATTATACATTCTGTTTAATAATAGCTTTGACTATTTTAGGGCTGCCAGGAAAGGGTGGATTCGTTCAATGCTCTACCTCCATGGTCCGCTTTTCGTAGTAGTGACTATGGTTATTCTCGAATCAAAGTGCACAATGCAACCCACCTCAATTTGCAACAAGTATCTGATGATTTGGTAAGCAAGCTTCTTAACAGACTTTTGACTTATTTTAGCCAGCAACTGCTATACTTTAACTGTTGTCATTGAACAGGATGGAGAAGTGATAGATGACTGGTGGCTTATCAAAGAAATGCCCAGGATCAAATTTCCACTAGCTGAGCAGATGACAACGGAAGAGAATCAAATCATCGAACCTAGTAATGTTCTTAAAGGTTTATAAGTGACCTAATGATTTTTTTAAATTTTCTGTTCCAAAGAATAATTTGCAATGAATATGTTGTGATACCCATTATCTTATCTAATTGTGCATTTATTGATTTTAATGTTAAAGGTGCTAGAAGATATGTTGCCATTGTGATATTCATGTTGAGTTGTGATATGGAGATAGGAATCTTATTGTAAATAAATGTAATGCTCAATATATCATTTTTACATGTCCTTTTATCTAACAAAGTTTTCTTCCTCTTCTTCAAACTATCCTTTACATTGGAATCAAAGGAGAGAAAAAACACTAGAACTTTGCCAAAATTTGACTAGTGGATAAGACTCTTAAGAGCCAGATGCCAATGGGTATTTTACCAATGTGCATCATTAGTTACCAATTTAAATTATGCGGAATGGGGATGTTACAAGTCTAATTAAGATACCCCTAGATGTCCATAAAATTTAAACAGTAACAATCAAAAGCAGTTGATTGGCTTCAAGGCCTACTCACTCACAAAGATCAACCAGTTGACATTATTGAGAAAATGCAGTGGGTGTGACTGGCAAGTTAACTTGCAGCCCCCAGCCCCCCTTGCACTGTACATATGTATGATGATGGAATATTATTTCTCCCCAAATATTTTATGATGGGAAAAAAAAATTAAATCAGCACTATGGATAGTGGTTTGGGTCCTTTGATTGCTAGGAAATACTGTGAGGGATAATTAATCCATTGTTGCCTCAAAAGTTCTTCACATAGCTTTTCTTTGAAAAGCATGGTGATGTACTCATGATAACGGCAAGGAAATGTTTCATTCAGCCGGCGTCAAGTACATAAATATTATTCAAAAACAGAACAGGGTCATGCAAACAGAATATGACATTAACAAGAAGATTATCACATACATACATGAAGTGATGGTACTTCACTTCTGAACCAGCAAATGAGACAAACAGTACTCTTGATCACAAATGAAAAGTTCAGGCGGGTAGTATGATGCACAGCTCAGAGAAAGCTTCAAAAGTTTCTCTCAGTTGATCAACAAAATAACAAAAAAAGGAACAAGTATTTGCACTTTTAAAAGTTTCCATTAGAAAAAAAAAAAGGTATAAAAAAATAAATTAAACTCTACATTTTTTCTAAGTTGAAAGTGCAAATCCACCTTCCTCAATACAACATAAATTTGAAGAGAAACTGAAGCTCTCACTAGCACAACAGTATTCAAGTCCTAATACAACAAGAAATCTTTTCATAATAATTGTTCTGTGCTGTGTGCTGATAAATCAAGAAGTCTCCAGGCGGCTTTTGGATCTAATTCAGACATATCTCTACATAATACCCATACATACATAACTCTAAGAACTTTTTCAGGATCTCCTTCCAAGACAGCACCTTTTGCATCCCTCAGGCACATAATTTGCTGTGATTGAAAACTAATAACAAGAACAGGGCCCTGATCCATCATTTTGCCCATTGTGAGATCAACGTCTTTAATATCAAGTACTTTAGAATCAAAACGGGCACCCATCTTCTGGGCTTGCTTAATAGGAGTGGAGAGTATATTAAAAGGACCTTCATGACACCAGTCCTTCAATATTTCCAAATCTCCACGAACCTGTAAATAAACAAAAAGTAGTACTTAGCTAACCATTCTGAGTTAATTAAAACTTGCAAGCCTATATTTGAAAAACTTTTATCAACTTACCATAGCTTCCAAAATGTTGGGAATAATATCAGTCTCACAATGGCGTAAAAATTGGAGACGGTCAAAATTTGGGTCTACTTTACAAATTTCGGTCAGTGTTTCTGATAGTTCAGTCTTTTGGAAAAGGCCTCCCATGATATCAGTGACCCTTTCAGTAACAGCTCGAGATGCTCTGACAAGGGGATTGTCACTTTCATCATATTTCATTTTCCAATCAAGTACTTTATTTATGTATTGATTATTGTCTTTAAAGTTTTGCCAACTTTGATAAAACCTGCAGAAGTAGAAGACATTAAGCATACAGGGTTCATTCAGTACCTTCTTGTTAAAAAGAGGGGGCATGAAAGGAAAGATGCATACTTTGAGTCCTTATGAAGTTCCATACCCAGAGCCTCAGTATTAGGCTCAACAGGCTTCAAATCTTCTGAATCTCCAGTCTCTCGACGCTTGCGTAGCTCAGTTGGAGCTTGATAAACATTCCCACGATAACCACTGTCAAGCTCTTTCTTTACAACTTCTGCAGCCTCAGTGACAGTCTTGAAAGCTCCACTTTTCCCTATGGTTTGACCTTGTTCAGACAATTTCTCAGCTGCCTCTTTGGCAGACTTTCCCAAATCGTCAGTGATTTGGCCTGTATAAAATGGGTACATATGATAATTCATTCAGGCCTAATGCATAGAAATACAAAGGGATACAAAAGGATACCAACCAGCTTTCTTAGCAAATTCGGTTTTCCCAACTTCTCCCATGGCTTCTTGGACCTTCCCTTTTAAAGCACCAATCTTTCCTTTCAGTACTTCAGTACTTTTGGTTGCTTCTGACTCAACAGACTCAAACTTCTGCCTAAATGATAATTAGATCATTATTATTACAATATAACAAAAGAATGAGGAGACAGTTCTTCTAAGATCAAACAATTTTAAAAATACCTTGCTTTCCGAAGAGCATCAGATTGTTCCAGCTTTTCCCTTTCTTCACGAAATTTTTTCAAACTTTCCTTCATTTCTTTATTTTTAGCCATCTCTTGTTTGACATTGTCCATAAATCTACCCCACAGGCTTGGCCTACCTGATGGGTTTGAATATGGTCGGTACTGCTGAAGATAAAATTAATAAATGGTTTAATTATTCAGCATGAATGAAATACTACCAGTGTCAAAACTGACAAACATGACAAGGTTGATTTCTTACAGTTTCATAATTGGGGATTGGCAGATGTAGTTGTGTTGTTACAGGAGGGTATAGCCAGCGGTTTTTGATCGGAAGCCTTTCAACTACTAGCCATGGCTTGAGGGCTGAAGGCGAATGCCGAATCTGAAAATAATAAAGACTTGAATAGAGTAGACCAGATATAAATTAGGTATTATTCATCCATTGGTACATGGAGTCACAGACAGCAAAGATAGATTTCAAAAATTGATAAAATGAAATGTATGAAAAATAAACGAAACCAACACATATTTTTTTAATTTTAAAACTCCGAAGTAAACTTCCGGCCAAAGGTTAACAGTGAACATGAGTGCTGGTTTATACAGGTCTTGAGGTTAGAACACACCTCCAGGAAATTTGAAGAGCATGTTCCAGGACTTCCCTAAACTTCTATTTCACATGTAGTAAGTTCAAAGGAATCAGTTAAGACACTTTGACGAACAAATAAATAAGTGACACTTTCAAAATAAGGATAACATGAAAAGTGTTCGGTGGAAACATCTACTTCGTTCTGGTTAGACTCGGTTCTCGACGGAAAATATACATAGTTGCAGACGACAGTCAACACTTTGAAATAGAAACTCTCCCACAGAAAATAAAAATCAAACAGCTCATGTAGGCTTAACATAGAATAACCAACCATTTTCTTAAATTTTGTGTGTTTTCGCCCCCAGGTTAAGCCACAGACGGCCTTCTGATGCAACAATTGAAGGTTAGAGAGGCCCTCTGTTTCTTTTCCGTAAGCCGCTGCACATGGTTCCCCCTCCCCTTTTCACTTTCTGCAACCCCCCTCGCCTCCTCGCCTCCCCCCTGCCCCTCGCCCGACAGCACTGCCTTGTAGTACGGAGGCAACGCCCTCAAATTGGGTTTGGCGCGCCTAAGTCCAAACCGCTGCGGCGTTTTGATTTTGATTTGTTTGGATGTTAGTTGTCTGATAAGCCCATCCCAGGTGTTAGAAGCAGCGCTTGTCTGAAGCACATGACCGCCAAGTCCATGCCTTAAGATGCAGTCCGTTGCATTTACAATGAGTCAACACTGAGACTGCTTGACCTAACTGCAATGGCGGCGAAACGAGCATCAGCTGGTGAGTAAAAAAATAAACAAGACGGGTAAGTCTATTTTTGAAAGTAAAAAATTTTTCCTGGGAAGGTTTTATGATGTCAATTCTCTTAAATAAATTTCTAGCAAAAATTATTCTGCCTCGTCACAGAGCAGATAACACTAACAGCGAGTACTAACAGCGTTTGTAACGTTTGTACATGACAGTAAAATACGAATTGGCTCGCAGCCCTCGCGGACTACACGCTGGCTCGCCAGCTGTTCGCCCAGGACTGCGCCAAGTCCGCCGAGTCCAAGGCGGGAGCCAAGGTCCTGGTGGCCGGCGGCGCCTTGCCTCTCCTGGTGGACATGCTGTCATCGGCGCCCTCGTGGCCGGAGCGCCCCGAGGACGCCGTCGGCGACAAGAAGGAGACGTGGCTGGCGGTGAGAGAGAAACCGGAATTGACGGCAGTTCCGTAGGTGAGGTCAGGCAGCAGATCAGTCTACTTGAACGCACGGACTCTGCACGACCAGGACGGGGGTGGCGCTCAGCCGGGTGCTGTCGGCAAGGACCTGGACGCCGTGCGCATGGAGACGGCCCGCCTGGCGGCCGCGGCCTTGGCGCACCTCGCGGCCTACAACGTCACCGCCAAGCACGTGGCCAAACCCTCGGTGCTGTCTGCCCTCGTCGAGGCCACCCAGTTGGTACCGTGTTCCGATAATGCAGTGGGTTGGCCGCATCGTTCGTGCAGTGCGAGGGACTCGCTTGCTCCTCGGCCTGCTCCCCCAGGCCGTGATCGGGGACCTGGCCCTGCACGCCCTCACCTCGCTGAGCGCGCACTCCGCGGAGCTGGCGGCGCGCTGCGTGTCGTCGGGGTGCCTGACGCACGCCTTCTGTAGGCCAGTGGCAGCGCCGCCGTGCCTGCCGGCCCTGCGGCTGGCCGCCGAGCTGGCCCGCCACGGCGCCGACCTGGCCAGGGCGGTGCTGGAGACTCCAGGTACACGCCCTGGAGCTGGGAACGCGCCGCGGAGCCACTGAGGGGATGACACCGTGGCCACCACGCCCTGACGGTGGTCCTCACGTTAGAGCAGGCTGCCTCGACCTGGTGGATCGCTGCCTGCACCTCCCGGTGCGCGGCGTGTCCTCGTCGTCCGCATCCTGCTCGTCGTCCTCCACGGCGTGCTCCTGGACGGCCGCCACGCGCGCCCTGGGGCTGCTGGCGATGCAGGACGAGGCCCTGGCCGTGCGGGTGGCCCAGAGCGGCGCCCTGCAGGCCGTCGCGACCCGACTCAGCGTGCCGGCCTTGAAGGCAAGAGCATGGCAATAGCCTCCCCTCCCCCGAGGCCATACCGCATGTTGGTTCGGCCCAAGTTTACTTGCTTTCCCTAAACCCATTTCCTCCCCTAGCTGGAGGCGCTGACGGCGTTGTGGAGCGTGGCGAGGCACTCCGCCCCCCTCGCGGAGCTGGTGGCCACGCTGGACGACGACGTGATGGGCGCCGTGGTGGCGGCCGTGCTGGACCACAAGGAGGCCGTGAGGCACGCCGCCGTGCTGCTGCTGCGCGACCTCTGCAAGCGGACCTTGCAGGTGAGCGCATCGGCGGCGGCTGAACCAAGATCACCAAGGTCGGCAACTCACAGGTGCGCCGCGCTGTGATTGTGGCTGCAGCTGTCGCAGCTGGCGGTGGACGCGGGGGCGGGCTGCGCCTTGACGCAGCTGCTCAAGGACACTCCGGGCCTCTGCCGGCTGCACGCCGCCGTCGCCCTGGGCTACCTAGCCGCGCACTCGCCCGTCCTGGCCCTGGCCGTCATCGCCGCCAAGGTCAGCCAGCGGCTGGCACACTGTGACGGGGAAGTCCCGGCTCAGCCTTTCGACCAGCGGAGGCAACCAGTCACCAAATCCTGTGTCCACTTCAGCACCTGAAATCCCTTAAAACCCGAGAGCTTCCCCAAGAAAAGAAAAACGATTAAAAAACAGCAAAATTCGGGTGCAAAATCGAGCAAACCCTCATGAAATACGACGATATTTCTTCCCTAATTTTGAGAGCCCAGACACCAACAGTAGGGTCGGTGACCTAGAGGCGACGTAGAGGCCTTGCCCGTCCCTGTTGCTAACCGCCCCGCCCCTTGCAGGCCGTGGAGGGCCTGGTGGCGGTACTGCGCGACGACGGCGACGAGGCCGTGCTGGAGGCCGCGGCCTGGGCCCTGGGGCAGCTCGGCCGCCACTCGGCCAAGCACGTCGAGGAGATTGCCGGCCAGCACGTGCTCACCTCGTTGGCCGAGGTACTGGACTTACAGACTGTGTGTGCCAATCACTGCCTTGGAGTCGGAATCCGAGACGGAGACCCGTTCGGGCGTCGATGGCCGCCGAGCCCCGCTTACCCTCTCCGCGTCGACGCGTTGCCGTGGGGTCGCGGCCGCGCGCTCCACCCCGTCGGATTCCTTATGACCATTTCAGCGCGCCGCGAAAGCAGAGCCGAACCACTTCTCCTCCTAAAAGGTGACACGACAAGGGTCGGGCGCACGCCGCGGGGCGCCGCATGGCGCCGCAGGCAGCAGCGAGAGCGTTTCGTCGCTCTGTCTCTGCCGCACTCATGGGGCGGCCCGTAGGGGTGCGAGAGAGGCGGAGCGACGAAAGGACACCGCAGGCGTCGCGTCGACCTTGCGCGCCCCTTGGTAGCGGCCACCCCGGCCACCCTGGCCACCCCGGCCACCCTGGCCACCCCGAGCGCGTGGTGTTGTTGTATGCCGGCACGAGAAGCCCGTGTCCCCTGTGGCCGCCGAGGTGGCCGCCACCCCACGGTTCTGGATCGCGTTACAGTAATTGAAGAAAAGCGGGACGGATTAGGTGTGCCGCACTCAGAGTACGTACACGAAGGCGGCGGGTCGTTCACTCCTCCCCCCACCCCTCCGAGGAGCGGCTGCCAGATGGCGTGGAACGGGGTCTCGACCGCCAAAAGGCGGCTGCTTGACGCAAGCCGCCCGATAAGACAGCCCGCTGTGCACGCTGCACACGTAGTTCGCGTAGTTCACGTAGTTCACCAGTTTACGTAGCTTCTGGCCGCGATGACGGCAGAGGGCGCATCCGGCCGCCACTGCACTTAGCGCGGGTCTAGAGGGACTGCAGGGTGAGGGGAGAGGGACAGAGAGCTGCTGAAGTGTGTGGCGGACGCGATGGCCGACTGGCCAGAGAGCAGGGGGGGCGGTTTTATGGGGGCCGCGACCCACCAGAACGCGAAAACACGCAGGAAAGCGACCGCCTCCACCGCCGGAAGACCACGAACGTTGTCGCAAATCGCACAGCCTGAGTGCGCGTCGTCGTCCCGCAGGTGATGTCGCGGCCGTGCTGCAGTGAGGACGTGTCCGCCAAGGCCATGACCGCCATGGAGCACATCATCCCGCGCTGCAAGAGCTCCACCGCCCTGCAGCCCCTGCTGCACCAGACGCACCCCCACGTCCTGGCCCTCACCCTGCGCCAGCTCGCCAAGGTCAGAGCCAGCACCGCCAGCACCGCCTCGCCGCAGCAGCAACGCGTCTCTCTGATTCCCTTGCCTCGGCCGACGTCGCCGACGTCGCCGACGTCACGGCCCCCGAAAATGAGGTGTAAACACGCGTGCGTACGCCGTGTTGTGTCTCGTCCATCGCGCAGCTGGCAGCCGCCATGATCTATAGGCCGCATTTTGATGTGAAAAGATGATGTTGACTGCCACCTCTGCACGGCTGGGACCACACCCCTCCCCCGCCCCCTTGGCAGCCGACTAGATACGTGTGTGCCCGCCCCGCGGCCGCAGGAGGGCCACAGGGTGTCTGTGATTGGCCAGACCCGTGCAGCCCGCGCTTTAAAGGGCATTCCCTCGCCGGCGGGGGAGGGGGGTGAGGTCGGGGTGAGGTTGGCCGCACTGGCCGCACCAAAGCCAAGCCCCCGCCGAGCTGTGTAAAGCGTTTTATCGGCGTAAACACGCGGTTCCCTCATCCGCTTGTTACAAACTTGTTTTTTCCGATCTGTTCGTGTTTTCCCCTTTCCATCTTGCGCGCTAAGTTTAAATCAAAAGCAGCCGCGACCCCAGCGGGCGGACGCACTGTGGGCGTGGGTTCAACTCGTCACCTTTTCCAACCGACTTTGTTTGTTGTTGTTCTTGTACTGTCCCGCGGGTTGCGGGTTGGAGATCGTGGAAATACGAGCAGCCGGATCTCCGCCGCGGCATCGGGAGGGTCAGTGACCAACACGCCAGGCAGGGCCTTGGCCAGGGCGTTCCCTGCCCGGTGCACGCGGAGCGCGGAGCACGGCAGGGAAGGTTGCCTCTGTCAGGTGGGCCGGGCCGGGCCAGGCCGCGGCCTATCTTGGAGGCGAGCGCGCCTCGGCGATACGTCTGTCAATATTAGGAGAATCGCGTTTCTGGAAAGGGGAAGCGTTTGGGGGCGCCAGGCGCCGCGAACCCCGCCGTCGAGGGGGAGGGCCGGCTCCCTCCGAACAGTGCCTCGTCGCTCTGTCTCCCTCGCACCCTCGCGGGACGCCCGATGAGTGCGAGAGAGACAGAGCGGTGAAGCATGTTCGGAATGAGGTTGCTGGGCGGGCCTGCAACGGCAGCACGGCAAGCCGGCGCAAGGAGTTTTCATTTTCTGTAACGTCGCAGCCAGCAATCCACAACACAGATCCACATTCCGACAGTCCTGGCTCTCGTTTTGGGTGTCCGCCACCCGGCGCCCGTCAGCCCGTCCACCGGGACGACAGATGCACGTCGCCCGCCTCGACGACGACCCCGATGCATTGCGACGTCGTCGGCGAAAACGAAACGCAGCGAGATAGCTTTCCGTTTTCGTGCTCTTGTAGCTCTTGTTGCGCAAAAGCAGGCCGCCCTCTGGCGTCGTGTTGACGAGGGGTGACGCCGCTCCACCGCGCGACAGTTTAGATTTCGCGCGTGGCGCTGTGATTTTTGTTGTGACGAAGGGGGCAGGTGCGAGGCTAGCCCGGCTAGCCGCAGGGAGGGGACCAGAGGGGAACCCTCCCCAACAACTCAGCCACGATCAGAGGCGACCTCAAGGCCGTCCATAGAGTAATCATTTCAAAATATAACAAATTGAAAAGCTTAAAAAAATTGAAATAAATTTAGCACAAGTCAGCACAACGCAGCAGTCTGTGAGTTGCCGGTTTTTGTGGCCTCTGACTACTGTTATGACAACCACTCCTCTGTCAGCGCTCCGCGTCCCGCTGTGTCGAGCAGCGAGTGGTGCTCGATGCGCGCCATGTGCATGTTGAGTGCTTATGAGCGCGCCGAGTTGCGTTTGCGTCTATTTGCGAGGCACTGCTGCAGATTGAAGGCGCCAACTGCAACAGGGGTCGTGTGTGTGTGTGTGTGTGTGTGTGTGTGTGTGTGTGTGTGTGTGAGAGAGAGAGAGAGAGAGAGAGAGAGAGAGAGAGAGAGAGAGAGAGAGAGAGAGAGAGAGAGAGAGAGAGAGAGAGAGAGAGAGAGAGAGTGAGAGTGTGTGTGTGTGGATGTGTGGAGGCTTTGGCGGCCGCAGCGTCTCTTGCGGCGCGTTGCTAGCAGTGTCGAACCCACGTGGCCGCTTGTCCTGTGTACTGAGTTATAGAGCGGGGCGCGTCCTCCAAGGAACTTTCATTGTTCGATTGTGTTCTTCTTCTTTCTTGGCTTAAGATTGATTCCTTCGCGTGGGTCGGACGATTAGTGTCACCGCTGACGAGAGCGCGCGAAAGCGTCCGGCTGACTTTGATGGAACACTCGGCCAGCTTTGACTGCTTCCCGCCTTCCCGCTCGGCTTTGTTTTCGAGTAGTTTTCGCGGAAGCTTCCCCGCCCCCTCCCCCCTCGCGTTAGACTTGATGGACGGCGGCGGCTAGTTTTGAGGTCAATTCGTAGAGTTCCCTGTTTCGCCGCCGAACTTACACGAGCGCACTATCTCGTTTCTTCGCCGCCGGCAAATGGTTTCGGCCGACGCGTGAGAAGGGGTGCGCCGCGACATCCTACACACTCTTGTATGTTTAGGGGCTGGCGGCCGGCCAGCAGACTGACGGCAGCGGCGGCGGCCAGCCAGCCAGACGGCCAGCCAGCCCGCCAGCCAGCCGGCCAGCCGCCGGCCAGCGGCCAGCTCAACAGAATTTTTCATCTCCGAGTCCGGCGTGCCGGACGCACTCGCCCGCCCCATCAAGTCCCCCTAGACTCTAGACACAATACGCCGCGGAGAACCCTTCGCGGCCCCTCTGTCTCTCTCGCCCTCACGGGGCGTCCCGAAGGGGTGAGACAAAGCGACGCGCGTTGCGGTGCGGCAGGCTGGCATCCTCGGTCAAACTTATGTAGCGCTGCGAAATGCGAGTTGTACAGTGGCGTGCTTCGTGCCTCCCTTCCTTTCGGAGCGATAATTTGGCAACTTGAGGACTCCCCCCACTCCCCCCGCCAATTTGACACCCCCCGCCCCGCCTCGGCCCTCGCGATGTAATTCAAAGAGATCTCGAACAAAGCACCTCGCACAGCGAGCCGCACAGCCAGAGAGAAAGCCGCGGGGATTTCCTTGCGAATTGGAGCCCGGCCACTTCTATTCATAGAGCTTCTCTGGCCGTGCGAAATTTGTGGCGACAAACGGCCCTTCCCCCCCCCCCCTCGACATGATAAGTCAAGTTGAATTTGTTGAGCACACTGCGTGCAAGAGGGACCACCTTTGTGTGACGTCTGTATGCATTTTCTACCTCCTCTCCTCCCTCCCCTCCAGTTCATTTTGTGTATTCTTTTCTGGGATCGTGTTTATTTTCATTCTGTACATCATGAGTGACTTTCTTTTCTTTTTCGGCTCCAGTCCCCAATTTTTAGGCTGAAAATACAACACTTCGTTTAGATCTTTTGTTTTTATTTAGAAAACTCAAACACTTCATATACATCAACACGATAAAAATTTTAAGTACATGCAGTGGAAGCAAAAAACACAGGTATTTTTCATACAAGGGCTTGCCCGCGATATGGCTGCTGCGCACCGCACGACACAATAATATAATAATAGTAATACGATCATAATAACGAATCGACTATATTTGGCTTTACTGCTCACTACCTGTTATCACAATAAGTCATATCTACCGCGCGCTGACTCGGCCAAGGCCCGGCGGCCCGGCCAGCAGGGAGCACCCATGCCGATCGTTCTGCCGATTTGGTGAGTCACCGGGCCACGTCACGCCGAGAGACCCACGCAAAGAGATCTTTAGGTTTGAGAGTTATCAAGCTGGCAATAAATTACTCTACATAAGAATTGGCGCGAGGATAATCCTGTGCGCCGCGCAAACATTTACTACGGCTCAGCACATTCGACATCGCCTTCGTCAGGGCCAGGATTGACATAAGGTCAATAAGCTATATTGCGAGAAGTGAAAATTAAGATACGAGAGAAATGTTCAAAAACAAATTAGTATCCTCGAATAAATCAGGCATTGGCACTCGGATAATATCATTCTGAAAGCGTTGACAACTTTTCTTTTCTTAAACGCTTCCTAAATCCTGGATGAGTATCACTAAAGTAAAATTACGCGAAGTAACAACTAGGTGCGTGTATACATAATAAGTTAATGCGAATCTCTTTCAAAATGAAGCGAAATATAGTGTACTTTCTCACAAAACGACAGAGCACTTTTCACAGTCATGTCCAATCCACGCTTCAATGTAAGGACGTTAAATCACAGCACATCGACGAAACAAAAACGAATCACGACCACAGTCCGACTACGTGCCAAGTTAGATCAAAGACAGTGATTGAAATTGGATGAAAATGGGGGGGGGGCCAAGGGGAAGTGAAAAGTAATGGTAATAATAAGTAATTAAATATGACAAGGATGATGCAGTCTTTGGAGTGTAGGCTGAGGCTCACGCCTTCTCCATGGGGGGCCTCTTGATCTCCTTGGCGAGGTCGTTGTAGGGCGCGGGCATCTCCAGCAGGGGGCTGGGGCTGCGCGACCGGCTGGGCGAGGACAGGGTGGAGGAGTCGAAGCGGACGATGTTGTCCGTGAAGGCCTGGTGGCTGCCCTCGCTGGACACGTGGCTGAAGGTGATGACGGGCTTGTCCGGCGAGCCCTCCGCCTCCTCCTCCGCCGTCTCGGAGTACTTGTCCACGTCCGTGTGCACCTGGCGGCCGTCGGAGACGGACTTCTTGACCGTCTTGGCCTTGAAGACCTTGGAGCTCTGCTTGCACTCGACCTGGTCGGGCTGGTCTGAGCTGGAGGAGATCATGGACGACGAGGACGATACCTTGGTGGTCTGCTTGACCTTCTTGGTGGAGGCCGAGGCCATCTCTGGCAGGGCCACGGTGCCGACGGGGGTGCTCGGCGTGGTGGGGGTGCCTGGCGCGGCGGGGCCGCCGAGGGATGGCGTCAGCATCACGTCGATGCCCATGCGGTCCTCGAAGTCCTGCGAGCTGGAGGAGAAGGACTGCTTGACCACCTTCTTCGAGGAGCTGAAGGACTGCTGCATGCGCGTGGTGGAGGACGACGTCGACGATGTGCTGGACGAACTGGTGGACGACTTGGACGAAATCTTGGTGGTGTTGGACTTGTTGCTGACGGAGGACACGGCGTCGCAGAAGTTGTTGTTGCAGTTGTCGAAGCTCTCGGACCGCGCGCTGGAGACCGAGGACTGGGACTGCAGGCTGGACGTGGAGTTCTCGCGCGCGCATCGCCGCTGCTGTGTCTGCTGCAGCATCTTGGCGTCGTCCAGGTCCACGCTGCTGTTGCTGCTGGTGCTGTTGTTGTTGCTCAGGTTGATGGTCTTTGTGGACTTGAACGTGTTCTGCTGCATGTCGTTCGTGGCGTCGCTCAGGCCGTTCTGGCCCAGGCCGTCGTAGAAGGCGCTCTGGTGGATGTGCACCTGCTTCTTGTGGCGCTGCTGCTGCTGACTGAGCTGACTCAGCCCCGCCTGCACCTGTTCCTCCTGGCCCGCTGCCGGCTGTTGTTGGCGCTGGTGGCGGGCGATCACGTCGGACAGGTTCTTCATGTGGCGCTGGTGCAGGAAGTCGAACGAGTCCTGCAGGTAGTCGATGGCGGAGGTGGTGCTGCTCTTGGTGCTGCTGGTGACGCGGTGCTCCTCCACGACGCTGGTGCCGGTCTTGGCCAAGAGGCGCTTGACGCAGGCGGAGGCCTCCTCGGCCGAGCCGAACACGCTGGCGTCGTCGGTGGCGAACTTCTGGCCCGCGGCGGGCATGCTCATGGTGCTCATGGCGAGCGGCGTGCGCGGGCAGGCGGCGGGCGTGCGCGGGCGCGTGGCCGTGCGCCGCTGGTACACGACCTGCTCGGCGGGCTTCTGCTGCTCGTGGCGGCGCCGCAGCTGGGCGCGCTGGCGGCGGTCGAGGGGCGCGGAGGGCGCGTCGCTCTGGGAGCTGGTGCGCACGGCCGGCACGGCGTGCACCCGGCCGGGGACGTCCACGCCCTGCTCGCTGTGCAGATCGATCCGCAGCTGCAGCTGCAGCGGGCTGAAGGTCTTGGTCTCGACGTGGGTCGCGACCGGGGAGTGCACGGGGTGCTGGTGCGGGTGCGGGGCGCCGGGCTGCGAGGGCGCGCGCTGCTGCAGGAGGATGGAGCGTCCCTCCAGAGCCAGGTCAAGGAGGTTCTGGCTGGGCGGCGGCGGTGGCGGCTGCAGGGGCTCGTCCCTGCTGAAGGGGAAGTCCTGGTGCCGGCTACTGCTAGTGGTGCTGGTGCTAAGTGCGGCTAGGGCCTCGCAGCCAGCGACTAGCATGGGCTGCACTCGCGTCTTTCAGTTCGCGTCCGCGGCGGCGGTTTCGAGGTTCGAGCTCTCGACGGTGGCTCTGCGCGGCAAGGCGGTCGACGCGGGTCTGGTTCGCCGGCCGCCGCCCGGTGTGCTTTTATAAGCTCAGCGCGCGGCGGAGGGGGGCAAAGCGGCGCGGCGCCGGCTAGCGGCGTCTCTCTCTCTCTCGCTCCCGCTTCGATCGCCGCGCCGCCCACTCCGCGGTCCGCGGCTCCCGGAGACCGTGGCTTTGCTGGGCCGACGCCGCGCCGCCAACGCCGTGCCGCGGGGCACGCGCTTCCAGGACTTCCAGGACCACGTGCAGTGCGCAGCGTGCGCAGCCACGGCCAAGCTGCGGCGCCGTGCCAAAGCCGAAGCCCTGCGCCCCGTTTCCAAGGAAATCGCTAGTTCAAAGCGTCCAATCGCGACAAACTACGCAGGCAGGGGACCTCGTCGGAGCGAACCGGCTTGGAAAGGGTAACCAAGCCAATGCGTGCACGGCGACTTGGCGTGCAGTGGCACGCGTGCCCCCATGTCCTTCTGCATGTTAGCACCCCGCCCCGCCCTGCCCGGCCAATTGAAGCGGCGGAGACAAGACAGAAGCCCCAAGCGATCCCCATTAAAGTCAATGAAAGGGCAGTCCCCGCCTGATTCCAGCCCACTGGCTATTTCCAGTGGCACTGCCTTGCCCTTTGGCCCTCTGGGCGTGTCGCCTGCCGCCCCGCACATGCCCCGCACATGCAGGCAGCGATGCTGTGACGTCAGCGCCGGCGGGCTCACCGTACGTCGAGTCGGGCAGGGCCGATTCTCACTTATCGTTCCTCGTACTGCACGCTCCACGCCGAGCAGAGCGGAGTGTGTTCATGACCAGGAATCGCTGGCGCGGTCTATTCTGGGAACACAGTGGGCGCCGTTTGACGCCGTTCGATGTCCACGCGACACGTGAGTGGCGGACTCGGGAAAGCTGTTGCATCCTAACGCCTCTAAATGATTGATCAGTCGGTTCCTGTCCGGCCCTCCGTGCCCGCAGGGCGCGCCGCTGTCGGCCAGCCTTGCAGTGCAGTGTTCTGTTTCCGCCGCCGTGTCACCGACCAGCACCGCCAGCACCCCCCCGCCGAGCGCCGCGGCGCCGCGGTCAGGGTCTGACTGGGTCTGACTCACACTAGTCGCGGCGGCGCACGACGGCGGCCTCGCGAAAAACGGCGAAAGGCGCGCAAAAAAAAAGAACGAGTCATAACAGACGCGGGGCACGTCGACGCCCCAGCGCGGCCCAGCACGGCGCGGCCCCTTAGCCCCGCTAAGTGATTCCCAGCACCGCCAAAATTAATGGCGGAGGGGAAGGCCCATGCCGCCTACTGCGCTCGGACACCGGAGGCCTCTCTCGCACTCATGGCGCGTCCCACACGTGTGCGAGAGAGACGGAGCGACGGCACGAGCCTGCGAGCGGTCGTCGACCTGGCAAAAGTCAGTCAAGGAATTGAACGAAAGGGCGGCGCGGAGGGCGATTCCGTCGCTCTGTCTCTCTCGCACGCACAAGCGACGCCTCAAGAGTGCGAGAGAGACGGAGCGACTGAGCCTGCCGCACCAGGTCGATGATGGAACGGCAACGCAGCGAGGGACGCGTCGCCGAACAGCGGCAGTGCCCCGATGCATCGCCCGGCGGCATGGCCCGGCCTGGCCCCGCAGTGCCAGTGCGCCTACCCGCCCCTGTGACCCACATCTCGTCAAAGGAAAGGGGCGGCGCACGCAGCGACGCCGAGGGTCGTCGCGACGCACAGTCAGCTACGCCTTCGGGTCGGGCGGGTACAAAAAGCACCAAAACCCAAAACCGAAACCTGGGGCATGTTTCGGGGCCAGCTCATAGTTCTCGAACGCGACTCAACACGAATTATGTCGACGGAAGCCTCGTTCGAGAGACATTCCAATAAAGCTCTCATGTGCGGCGCGGTGACTGCCGTGATCGAGAGAGACAGAGCGACGAAAAGCTCTGTTCGGAATCGAACGGCAGGGCGGCGTCCCGTAGGACTGCGACGGGATGTCGTGGGACGACGGCACGGCACGGCACGCAGCCGACTGTGCATTTCATTGGCGCCCCACACACATTTGATTCTCGGTGAATAATCACAGCGTGCTCCACGTCGTGACGGCGACGGCCCAAGGCCTGCCATTGCGCTGCTGCACCGCCGCCCGTCACGTGACTGTCACGTGACTGTCACGTGACTTGTCACACCGCACCTGCATGGGCGGCGGCAGACCGAACAGTGCATTCGTCGCACTCACGGGGCGTTCCCGCTAGGGTGCGAGAGAGACAGGGCGACGCGGCACAGCTGCGGACAGCTTCATTCGTGGGTGACATCCTGCTTGATAATGCGGAGAGGGCCTGGGCGGCACTGCGCCGATATGTCGGCGTCGGCTCGGCGTCGCGGCTCAGTTGCCTACACTCGGCAGTCTGTTTCGCAAGCCGAACCGACACTTTTTACTTAGTGCTCTGTGGACAGACCTCGCCCCGCGTCACTTCATCTGACGTGGTTTCGGCGACGCCGGCTCGGGATCGCTCTCCGGGCTAATGCTTACCCCCCCCCTCCCCCCGTTTCTCCCGCGTGGCCCCACTTTGACGTCACACGGACCCGAACCCGCGAGCTCGTGAGCTGGCGGCCCGACGCATCACACGCACGTCACATGGTGGCTTGGGCCCGCGGTCCGGAGTCCGCGGGGACTTCACTGGAGGCTCCAGGTCGGGGCCCGGCCCTGACGCAGCCGGAGTCTTGGGAAGCTCTAGGAAGGGGCCTCTTCCAGGAACCACCCGCAAAGGCTCGCGAAGGGGCGACGACTCGTTCTGCTTCTTCTTCTCCTCCTTGTCGCCGCGCGTGCGTGGCACTGCGTGGCACTGCGTGTGTTGTCCTTCCCCGAGTGGCCCGGGGGAATCCTGGGGACGGAATAGGAGTTCCAGGTTCAATGGGGCCGGACACGCCGGACAGGCCGACAGGTCTAAGAATAGCGGTCAAGAGTGGGGAAGCGGGCCAGGGAGGCCCAGGCCCGTAACAACACGCGGCCGACGGATGGACGCGGACACGGATATGGACGTTCAGACGGACAGCCTAAAGACATGGACAACGAGGCCCTTCTTGAGCGGGCCGCCCTCTAGGCCGCCCCGGACGCGCTTGACGTCGCCAAATTTAGCCGCAGCAAACTGGAGCACGAACTTGGAGGCCGTGAACACGCTCACCACGTGATGCAACCCAACGGCGTCACCGCGCGTTTGCGAACAAGGTAGTGCTCTCGACAACCACCGCGGAGACGCCGCTGCAGCCGTCACCTCCCCACGCGGGTGTCCCTACGTAGATCGGAAACAGGGCTTCGTCGATCTGTCTCTCTCGCTCCCCCAAGCAACGCCCCGTGAGTGGGACAGAGACGGGGCGACGACGCGTGACTCGGAGTCAGTCTGCAGGGACGTACGGACAGACAGCCTTCCGGTGGCGATCTGATTGAAAAGCCGTCCTGGCGGGACAGAGCGAGACAGAGTGGCCATCGCGGTGCGGCTGCGGCGTGGGGAGGCGAATGGGAAAGTTGTTGCCCCCGCAGGCCTGTCGGGTGTGCCTGTCGGGCGTGCGGGATGGGGTCGGGATCGACCCGACAAAGGCCGGCAGTCTAGTTAGTTTGCAAAGTGCATCTAAGTTGGCGCCGATGGCGGTCGGGATGGCGGGAACCCTCGAGACCCTCGACGCCGCAGCACTGCGCAGCACTTACTACTCACCAGGGCCTCCACTCGCCAAACGAGCAGCACTTTTCATCAGCTACCATTTCCTTCTGTGCAAACGCTTCACTCTATTTTTGTGACGTGTGTGGAGGGGCACCTTGCGGCGCGCTCGGGGGTTGTTCGATAGTGATTGCGGTCGATTCGTCGCTTCCCGTTATTGGCGAGTCGACCTGCCATCCCATGCACACACTTCTGTCTCTTTTTAACAGATTACACATCGGTATCGCTGACAAAAAAATCTACTAATTGTTTAAAATTTGACTTTTTTACAGTGTCATGTTGGTTCTGACAGCCGCCAGTGGTTGGAGCGGCGCGTGTGCGTTACGTCTCGCCGTCCGGGACATCACCTTATCGTGGGCCAATATTGTTCCTCACATTCGGGTATCTGCCGCGGCGGCGGTTTGGCGGCGCAGCCTTCAACGCCACTTGCATCTGGCGCCCTGCTGGCGCCATACCGGTTCACTGTTTACTGGGAAGCGGTTCGCGCCGCCTGACGCGCAGGCTCGACGCATGGGCCTCGAACCGAGCGTGCGACCCCACCAATGGATTCCTCGTTCGGAGAGCAATCCATTGGTGGGGTCACACGTTCGATTCGAGTACCATTTAGCGACTCTGAAGCTCAAAACGCGTCTAGAATTTTGGCCGCCTCCACCGGTCTTCTGAGCCTGCTGTGCGTCGCTCTGTCTCTGTCGCACTTGTGCGGCGTGCCGTAGAGGTGCGCGAGAGAGAGACCGAGCGGCGAAACGCCACTCTTGGGAGTCTAGACGCGCAGCACGCGACGTAATATCGTTACGGACTTGTTGTCCTCAAGGACGCGGCGTCGCGCGACCAAGGACCAACAAGGAGCAACAAGGACCAGCGAGCGCCAGCGAGGGGCGACAAAGACCAACAGGGACCGAGTGGATGCCGCGCACGTGACACGTCGGCACGGGGTGGCGGCGTGGCGCGGCGTGGCGCCGCTGCGTTGCCTTTGAGCTTGGCGCTCGGCCTCGCCTTCCAGTTTTCGCACCCTTGTTACGCCCCTTGACGCGGCAATCAAGGCAAACTGTGGCCAAACTGGCGCCTGCGTCGCGCAACCCCGGCCCGCCCGGCCCGCCCTCCGCGCGGCACACTGTCCGAAGGGTTCGCTGGAGTCACCACTCAGAGAACGCTGCCATTGAATCAACGCACTAGCCATGCAGTGGGCGGACCGTGGGAAAAGGCCTTATGTCGGACACGGCGATGTTTCTCCTGCCAAAGCGCATCTGAAGCTGGCCTTTTTCAGCACGAGACTGCGTTGGCCCGGCTAAAAACAATACAAAACTAGGCAGTTGAGAGTAAGGAGCCGAGTCGAC